AGCTTACCACGAGAAACGCTCACCCTTTACAGGCCTCAGATCAGTGTGATGTCACCCACAACAGCCCCTGAACCACTTACTGCACTAAATGAGAGCCATTAGCCGTACAAACAAAGACTTAAAGACTCGGTGTCATTTAATCAAAAAAAGGGAGCAGGAAGCACAATTAACATCAGGGCTAAGGTGTGTCAGAGAGGGGTCAGGTTATAACCGTGCAGGCTCATGTTACAGTCGCGCAGTCAGAGTCCCGGTGGTCGGTGTAAACCTAATGAGAGTCAGTAACCCCAACCTGGCTGCAGCCCGCCCGCTCCGTCTGATCTCCGTGGAAGACAAAGTGGTCTACCTTCCACACCAGGCATCGCTATGAAGAGCAGGGTACGCTAGCCAGTTAATAGTTGGAAACCTCTCTTTCTCCCTCTCCGTCTGCTCTTTTTCTCTATACCACTCTCCCCCATTACATTTGGTTTTTCCTCCCTTCAATAACGTCTGCAGTGGCATATTACAACTTGGAAATGGATTTTAAAAGGGAGTAGAAAAGGGTGCCAGAATGGGAAAAACATGGATTGGCTCAAGGGAAGCAGATTAAGTGGGCATGCCAAACCTCACGCTTTGTAAGAAACAAGAAAAAGACCCCCTTTTTACATTAATGCCCTGAGTTGAAGACCAACCGCATAGTGGAGGGAAATCAAAAATCCCACCCTCTTCGAAAGGGAGAATGAAAATTCCAGGCGGTGAATTGTCACCTCATATGGATCCTTTCCCCTTCGGTGTCGCTGGAGTGAATAAGGCTGTAAGGTGCCGTAAGGTGCTGTGAGGCTGTCAGTGTCATTGCTGCAGGTCTCTGTGTGCTCAGGGAACTGTAAAGCCAATTCACAGGCCTGCAAACATCCTGTAACAGCAACATAAATCCACTAATTCAGGCCTTTGTGTTTGGTAATGGATGTTGTGCCGTACTATGTAGATGTGATATGATAGGATTGATTGCTCTGAAGATCACTGAGGCTGCTTTCTAGCACCGCCCTGCCACCCAAACTGTCGGCCGACGAGCCGCTCATCCCATGTTGCCTCTGTTGGTGGTCCCTGGTGTAAGCTATATTTTCCCCTCACTTCTCTCTCTCTCCCTCGCTTTTTTATAGCTAACACAAAATTGTTCCTAATTCGCTGCTGCTAGAGGGGGGTAATTTGCGGCTTTTGGCTGAGTGTCGCAAGCCCCAAATTTGAAAAAGCTGCTGAGTTGAAGGCGTTCTGTGAAACGCGGTAGGAGCAACAGTAGGGAGAGGAGACAGAGAGGGCCTAAATTCAATCAGCTAAAAAGGGAAAAACAGCAAAAACATGATAATCCTCAAAAGGCTGAAGGCTGCTATGCAATAATAACTGTAGGGTTATGTAAGCTGTAGCCACCAATAATTATGGCTCTTTTAATGAAATGACGACTTTAATGTCTCCTCTTTTATTCCAAGTTAATGCGATTTCCTTTTTGCTCATATTTTTTTGTCGTACTATCTTGGCTAAAAAACTGTAGCTCGTACTTCACTTGTGTTTATTTTGTCTTGTCTTAAATTCCTTTCAATTAAAAACAGCTACAGCTGATTCTCTGCTGCAAAAATGCTATCTATGAAAGCAGAAATGGTTGCTTCTTACTAATGGCAATTTAATGACGAGCCGTATTCTGGTTTAGCTCTGTATGATGGTCAGCAGGAAGCAGTTCAGTTTGGAGCACCTCAAGGACCTGTGATCAAGCCACTTTTATTTTCTCAGTAACAACAATTTTCTTCATTGCTATCCAAGCTCTCTGCAGCTGTGGCTCGTCTTACCAAGATGTACTTAATTAACTCAAAATCATTTTTAATATTTGGCAGTCTTAGGTTATTAAACTCTGACGAGCTTCCTCCAAGTTGACTTCTCTTCAGTCAGCCGAAGACAAGCCAACATAAATAGTTTCCTGTTATAATTAGACATTTAAATAGTTATTTGACTCAATAATTGTCTTTCTTTTATAAAATTTTGGCATGTTTGCTAGTATGTTTGTTAACATTTTTGTTCTTGGGTAAACGAAATGCACCATTCTCATTTGTCCAAGCTAAAGCTATCACCAGCAGCTAGCTAACTTAGCTTAAGGTAACGACTGCAAACAGTAAACTAAATCCCCAGTTTGTGTTTTAAATGTTTTTACATTCACTTAAGGAACACCATATGTAATATTTGGTGAGCTGACTTTTGTTACTATTGGATAAAGCAAACATATTTTCCCCTCTGTTTAAAATTGCTTTGCTAAGCTAATGTTGACATCTATTGTTTGTAAAAGCAACAGGGACTGTGATGATTTATTTGATTTGATTTGATTCCATCAGCACAGTACCAACACTTTTGGAATCCAGTTATTGCAAAGCACTGACATTTGTAACCAGTAAACTAATTAAGTGAATTAAGTGGCCGGCTTTATCAATATTTCATTTGGATCAATGGTACTTTTCAATATCAGAAGATGCTATAGTCGCATTTCTGCAAATGAGCAGCTTTGATAATTAAAAAAAAATAAATAGAAGTTATGATTTGAAAAAATTGTTTTGGTAAAGGTATTGATAAGCTAACAAAGATTTTGAGACAGCTAGCTAAAAATAATAACATAAAATAGCTTTTATCTCCAAGTTGTTCAATTTTAAAGCTGAAAGCAGATAAATGAAGAAAAAGCTAAAAGTAGTATATGGCTGAAAAAGATGCAAGTATTAAAATAAACAGCTGGGGGAAAAATATCCAGATTTGTCTAAACTGCTTAACAACTCTAAAAGAATAAATAAATAAAATATATTTTTTTATTCTGACCTACTGTCTACATGACGCTGGAAGGTCATGCAAACAGGAAGTACGAGTTTGGTTGGCCACTAGCTGTGTTGGTCACAGTGTCTGGATCTCTCTTTACACCCAGTGCTCTACTTTCCCAGAGCGAAGGGGGCTGAGAGCTCTTCCACGGCCTCGTCGACACAAGCGCCCTGAGAGGTGCTCATTCATTTTGATTAACAGGGCCTTCCTCGCTCTCATCCCGTCCTCGGTGGTTCGCGCTCTCCTTGGGGGAAAAAGCCCACATGGATGTTTTTCTTTTTTTATCCCACATGGTTTTTCACTTCCACAACAGCACGTCATTACCCGCGTGTTTAAACACTTAAGAACAGTTTAAAAAGGAGGGAGAGGAGGTGGCGGTAGAGGAGGAGGAGTGAAAAAACACTCACGAGCAATGAACAGTTCTACATTAACTCTGTATCACTCAAGGGAGCTGTAAAGGCTGCCCTGTAAGCGAAATGAAGTCAATAAATAAATGTGGCTGTTGTCAGATGTCTGGAACCGCTTGAGAGGGTTTCAGCAACAGGGCAGCCCACCATGTTGAAATGAAGGGTGATAAGTTTGGGCGGCCCCGCGGAATTAAACGCTACAACTTGCTGAGTGCCATTGACTAATGAGGGCGGGTTTGCCGCATGATAAATTCAAAAACAAGAGGAATGTTTGATCTGCAAGAAACCACAGTTTGTTGAAAGTCACAATGCCTGCTCAGCTCCGGGTGGGAAGAGAACACCATCACAAGACAGAGGAGGTTTATTATTTTATGCAGATCCCACATGAGCAGCCTCTGATAATGAAACTACTCCCCCAGAGGCCTGCTTTCACTACAGTCAATCAAAGCACATGTGACAACAAACAGAAGAAAGAGACAGGAACTGTCAGTGGACCGCTCCAGTTCATGACTTCATTGGATTCAAATATCTGTCAAAACGCCAACTTGCTGTGATGCGACTGCAACTCTTACTTGGCAGGCCGGCCGTGTAAGAGAAAATATAAAAGATGTGGAAAAGCAGTAGCAGCTGGACGAGTGTTTTGCCAAGTTAAAGCAATTGATCGCGAGGGTCCAAGGAAGAATGGGTGGGTGAGTGGGTGGGAGCATGGTTCAGAGGAAGCGGCAGGTGTGGGGAAGAGAAAACACAATCACATCTCAAGTCAAACAAATCCGTCTCCACTGATGGAGATGGATAGAGGGTCAGCATTCCAATCCTTGCTGGAGATCCCCACCGCGTAGCCCCGGGTCCTCGCTCTCACTGCTGCTGCTGCTGCTGCTGCCACTGGGCCAAACATCTGGACGGACGGGGAGAAAGGAAGTAACAAAGAGGAGTGGAGGGGAGAACGTTTTCCAGAGATGAGTGAAAAAGGTGGGATGAACTGAGGTCAGGAGGAGAGGTGAAAGGTGTTAGAGGAACAGGCTTGTTTATCTTGGGTACTCCCCGTGGAGGAGGGAGCCCACAAAAGTGAGCTTGTGTTGGTGGGGGAAAGTTCACACCCTTCTTGTGGCTGCCTTTTATTTCTCTTCATCTTCATCTGGTTCGCTTTGTCTCTTTGGAGCATTTTTCTATCATCATCTGGCCAGCTGAAGGTCAGAGGCTGCGGTAAATGGGGGTAACATTGTGTTTAATCCTTCACCCAACACTTCAGCCTCTTCTATCAGTCATCCTTCACAGTGCAGAAGCCTCTAACTGCCTGCTAAAAACTTTGCTCTTTTATTTATTTATTTTTTCTTTGTGTATTCCCCAGGAGTCCTATAAAAGCCTGTGCAGCTCTTGTTTTCTCTGCAAGTCGAAGGATGAACTAGAGCTCATAAAGAGAAAACTCAGAGGGCACACTGAGGTCCTGGGCTCTGTAAAAGGCGGGGGCAGCAGCTCTGGTGCTGGTATAGTGGCAGTGGAGAGAAATGTAGAGTTATATAGACACACACACACTCCACACCTTGGGAGCATTTGATCCCCGTGAACACTGCACGGCCCGGAGAGGACACGCTCTGTAAATTTTCCTCGCTCCTGCGTGCTGTGTTCTCTGTAACAGCAGCCTGAGCTTGTAAAAATAAAAAATAAAAACCACACACATGACAGGTGCCAAAGTCAGGAATGTAAAAAAAAAAAGTGAATGATGAAATATTATCATGGTGCTTGCTTGTTATTTTTCTTTATTTTTTCTTGGTGTCGTGTACTTTGAGAGAAAGCGTGTGCCAAAGTGTTAGCGTGTGTATTCCACGTGTATGCAGTGCTGGGATTTGTTACTTGTGACAGTTCTGGATAGAAAAATATATTTTTTATTTAGTATTATTAGCAAGAAATGGTTAAAATATCAACCTTATGATGAATTGTTATAAGTGATGGACACACTGTCCTATTGGATTATGAGTACTAATGCAGTATTTGGCATAATAATTGGTAAGTTACTGTTTTATTTACCTCCGAGCTCATTTACCTATCCTGTTTTTCTTTCAGCTCTTTTATTAATTGTTCACATTTACACCAAAATCCAGTAATATTAGCTGTTTCAGTAGTTTATCTGTTACTTTTAGCCATTACCTTTTTATGTGCTAATGTCAGCTATTTAGCTATTGCTAATAGCTAACAGTTTTAACTTAGCTTAGCTGAACACTTTCAGCAGTTCCCCTGTTTACTTGATATCAGTCTCTTAAGTTTTATATTCTGAAGTTTTATTAATTTCATGCTTTTGCAATATGTAACATTTTCTCTCATCCTCTCTTAATTTTTAGCTAGCTATTACCGTTTATCCATTAGGCTACTCTTAGCTAACAGTGTATTCCCTGTTGACTTGCTGACCTGTTTTCTTGTGTTCTGCTGATCATATAAATCAGCATTATGCATATGTTTTAAACTATATAGTCCAAAAAATATTTTTGTGGGACTGAAAGGTTGTTCAGAATAAGTTTTACTAAACCTCTCAATTACACACTGTTGTGGACAACAAGTAGCCTAGCATAAAATCACATTTCCACTGTCCAAAGCCACCAAGCAAATATGTGAACAAATATATTAACCAAAATGTGCTTGTATGCCTGAGATTTCTTCTTCTAAATGTGCTTAGTTACATTCTGCTGCAGCTTGCATGTGTGTGTTTTTACTGCTGATGGCACAGTGGAGGATTTATTTGAACAGATGTGAACTCTCAGTACCAGAGTGACCTCAGGTCCTACTTGGCTACACTGCAGCTGATCTCTCTGCCCTGGAATAATAACACTCAGTTTAACAGACTGACCTGTGGAGGAAAAAGCTCGCAAACACACTGTCTAATAAGTCGAGGAATAAGTCTACATTTCCTCTCACAAGTTAACTGAATCTCTCTGTAACCTTATCAGAGCGTGCCTTGCTGCAATGTGGAGTGCATATGTCAGGGCATGTCCTTGTCTTCTGTGAAATATCTCAGTTACAGTAACCAGACAGTACAGTAAAACCAGAAGTTATATTCCTTTCAAAGTCAGATATATGGCTCGGGATTTATACTCTCATTGACTGAAAATGGAGGGTTTTATACCAAATGCACTGCACATTAACAGCGTTGAGCATGAGTTAGAGGAGTCCAGAGGTTGCCGACAAGAGCCATAAAGGAAGTGAATTTATGTCTCAGAGTGATACAGGCGGGAGGTCAGAGGCAGAGTTAAGTGTGTAGGGTCGACAAGGATGAAGAGACAGCAATGTTTGGATAGAGGACAGGGGAGAGTGATTCTAATTTATACCCCACTAATTGGAAACAGCAGAGTCCTGCACCTGAATCGCATTTTCGGCCCTGTGGCCAGCGCTAGGCCTGGGGGACGTGGGAGGGCGATGAGGGCTTTGGGGGGGTGGAGGGATGGACTGGAGGTTAGGGTCAGTGTCAAAGGCAGCATTGTTGTTTCTATCCCTGCAGCCAGGACAGAGGTTTTGTGGTGTGTGCGTGCATGTGTGCAGATTTGGAAACGCAAGATGCCCGTGTCTGAGCAGAATTAGTGTGTGTATGTTTGAAATGTTCTGGGGGTCATGTTGTTGTGACAGTCTTGAAAACACACCACACACACACACTAACGAGGCCGGAGCCAGAGTGAGGACCACCCTGGTGCAACAGAGCGAGAGGAAGGAGGGGGGAAAATCAGCTTAATGTGTCATGGTTTCAATCTGACACGATCTAACATATGACATGGCTGGACTTCAGCAGTCTTAGCTTCCTAGTTAAATAAATATGACAGCCTCCTGAGGTAATTACCATGCTGTGACCAAGTTGAGTCATAGCATCCGTTAATTATGAGATGGGCCGTGTGATTACAGTCCCTTTTTTTTTTGTTAAATCCATGCTGCGAGTGAGTTTCTGATGTCTGTAATATTTCAGTGAGTGATGATGTATTCAGATGTTGGCTGTGACTGGGGTCTGGCATTGTGCTTAAAAGTGAAGTAATCTTGGAATTTAGATTGAAAAAACACTGACTTTGCTCGATGGGCTTCATATCGGCACGATCTGTTTGCACTGCTAAGCCACAAGTCAAATCCGGGCCTATGCCAGAGATTCCCACCCAAGGGCACTGGCGCTGTCCCACAAGAAGGTAGTTAAGTGAGGTCCATGAACTGTATATGAAAGGTGACGCCACCTGTGTGTTTGTGGACTCGAGATGAGCAGTTTGTCTGTGACTATCTTATTTCATTTCATTTTTTTTTCAGGGGGTGGATCTGCCTGAGAAAAAGTAAAGAAACAATCCCTCATACTAAGTGAGCTGTCAATCAAAAAGTAGCCAAAACTTAAAGAATCCTCTGTTTTATTATTTATTTTACTCTGAATGGAACCATAATTGATAAAATGAAATTCATAGTCACTGAAACTTGTAATTATTGCTTAAGACTACAAATTAATTTAGAAGGGCCATAAATAAGGTGAAAATTTAATTTTCTAATAGTTTTCTACACAATCTGCCACCAGAGGAGTCGCCCCCTACTGACCACTAGCAACAATGCAGGTTTAAGAGACTTCCACATTAGCTTCACTTTCATCTGTCTTTTCTACACATTCTGAGTATCTCAACTAATTTGGAAAAAATACAAAGTATGTAATAGATATTGATTAAAATATTCAGAGAGTCGATACATTTGAAACATTTGCTACATTTGAATTGCATGAAAATATGACTGAATTTGAATGAATTTGGCTTGTAGTGTAAAAACATTTTGAAAGCCCAGAAATAGCAGAAGAGCTCTACATAAATGCCAGTCTATTTAACAATATATATAACAGAGTGAAATGGGGCAAAATAAATTTGTCTAAATGAGCCCATTAGAGTAAGGTAGCTTGCGGTCGGAAAGGAGCACTCAGGTTTTTCTGCTGAAAAAAAAAAGGGGGTAACACAGGCTCTGAACTAGAGATTTATGCCTGTTTTTCTAACACTGCTGTGTGTCTTTGTGCGTGCGTGCTTATGTGAAAGCAACGCATCAATTCAGTGCTAAGTGACGAGCTGTCAGCTTTCACAAAAGGACAGACAAAGACCCCCTTAATACAAACGATGCACAGTGCAGATAAACACACATAAACCCCGAAAACCAAATTTCTTGAAAAAAAGGGGGAAGAAATGGCGGCTGGATTTAGACATATGGGGAACATATTGGTGGCGGAGATCTGATCACACGAGTTTCCTCTGAGGAGAAGAGAATACAACAGGATTTAGATGTGGTGGGGGCTGTTTTGTTTCCCTTTAAGTGTGTGTCAGTCGTCTGCCCTCCTTGAGGATGTGAGAGAAAACGTTTCTCTCTGCTTCATCGCTCCTCTTGATCGACAACTTGATAGCCTGCGCACATGACTGAGTGTGCGCAGGCCAGAAAGACACACGCGCACTCGTCCCACTGTAGTGGTTTGCAGAGAGACAGTTGTCCTATGATACTGCTTTTTTTTGTTCTTTCCACCTAGCATGTATTCTGTTGACTGAGCTCTGAGCGCACATCAAAGCCACCACAATCTGTCTGTTTCTCTCACGATTTGCCCCCCCACCACACCACGTCGATCTATGACTGAGCACAAACCATGCACAAACTAAAACACATTTGTATATGTGTATGGTACGGGAGGGACTCTGCATTTTCTTTGATCACTGTTCATCTGACATTGAATTAGTTCCTTTGTAGCGTTCAGAAACACGATCGATTTGTTATTTGACGTTGAAATCCTTGATTTTAAAATAGCCGCTCGTATTCTTTCCCTTTGACAGATCATGTTACTTTTTTGTGTTGAAAAGACACAGAACCAAAGTTAGTGCGTGCGGGGTATCCCCAGTTTTTTCCTCGCTGTCTTATCATTTCCACATTGATTCCACTGCCCTCTCTGGGCTGAAGTAAAGCCACTGCAGCTGCACATCTTAATCTTACTTTCCCCTTCATCCTGCCTGTCATGTTTACTCCCTGTTTCTCTCCCTCCTCTCTTCTGCAGGATGCATGGTTTCAAAGGGACCACAGAACAAATCAGAGGCCCATCCCTGCGCACCAATGGCCTGTCTCTCATTTCAGATGGAGATTGAAGGGCACGTCTGCTCCGGGGGCGCCCACCGCCCTGAGGGCCTCTGCGTCTCCCCTGCGTGAGAGCTGGACCGCTACACACACCAAAAAACCCGTCGACCCCCGCAATCGGCTGTCTGGTGAGCTCAGTCGCTGGAAAAGCCCTAAAAAGCCTCGCCTACATCCCTTGTTAGCTCAAGGCCGTGTGTGAGTGGAGTGTGTTTTGGGTTTTGCGTCACTTTGAAAAGATATGACAATAAACGGGCCCTTGAGCAGGAGTTATTATGTGTTTGGCTGAGAAGCGGGAGCTCGTGTTGCCTCGACGGAAGCTGGATCTTTCCCAGCGTTGTTTTGAGGTGCTTTGGGTTTGTTAGTCATAGCTTACTGTAAAGTGCCTCCTGAGACGCTCCTATTTAGAGATTGTTTTGTGCGCCTCGACTCTGAAGTGGTATCACGGGCCAGCTCCCCTGGCTTTTTCCTGGGGGAGGATGTGTCAGGCTTGTATGCATCTGCAAAAAAAAACCAACAAAAAACCTACAAAAAAAACCAACCGAGGCCACAGAAGATCAAATCCAGGTTTGGACGACGCATTGTATCAATGCGAGCTGTGGCTCCAATCTCCCAGAGTATCTGTCTCCAGCTCTGGTCTTTCTAGGCCTCCATTAAGCTCCTCTAGCTTTCATATGACACGCCGATACCCATCATAAGCTGCATGACAGCATATGGACCTGAGTGACATTTGATGTACGTGGCAGGAGCGAGTGCAGCTCCTCTTTGCGTCTCCCATTCATGTGGTGGAGGGAGGATTAAGACTTGATCCAATAGAGCAGAAGTGGAGGAGAACGAGCCGGGGTCAGATCTGCCTTGAATTAAGTCAGTGTTGCAGCAGGAATAATACAGTCACCTCCCCCAGAACCCAATAATACTACTGAAGGATAATGTGTGTGTGTGTGTGTGTGTGCTTGGCCTGTGCCGAGGCTGCAACCAAACCACAGGCTGGTGTCCTTTACAGAGAATAGGGGTCTCTGTTGACGGTTCAAACACAGCCCGCGGCCCCAGCTTCAAAAAGGCCCCCAATCATCGCACCCACTTACAGCCAACGGCGCATGTCACTTAATGTGGACCACACTATCCATCAATTATGGTGACGCTCAGGGGCCATCTAACACCCGCACCGCAGCTCCGCGTAGTGAGTTGTCTTCTTCTCTGACTGAAGCCCCCCTCCAACCCCTCCTGCAATCCTCAAAGCCCATCTGCTGCAGGAGGTGCAGCGTGAGGCCGCTAACTCCTCAGAGCTGTCACACCAGCAGAGCTCAGGCTTTTCTGCTTCTTTCATCCCGCGATGTTTCGCTCCCTAAAGCTCATCCTCCTGCAAACGTGGCCTCCTGCAGTGCGCTTTAATAGCTCACTTCACCCCTTTTCTCATTCTGATTGTCATCCTTTTTGCACCATTCCCGTCATGCCATAGATTCCCTTTGAAGTGTCCCAACAGTAGGCTTATCCGCACGCCTGTAAGACACACGAGCCCGTGACCTTACCCTCCTACTAGCTGTTTATCTGTCCCTTGGCAAGCGAACTGAGTCAAACTGGAACTCATTTATCGTCATCCGATTCTGACATGTTGCCACGGGGTATTAGTTAAGCCCCAGTGCCTTTTTGGCATCCAAGTGTCAGAACGTATGTTAAGGTTGTACGAGTGAAAATAAATGACTCAAATGTGGCGACCATATTGGGAAGTTCTCTTTTAACAGACGGATGCCGGCGGGGCGTACAAACCTGAACCAGACCGCACATCCGAGTCTCAGCCCTTTTCCTCTTTCTCCCGTCTCCAGTCGCTGTCCGCACAGGACATCTTCCTCTGTCACATCTGGAGGGGGGTGTGGGCGAAGAGGCTCGGGTCAGGCCGGAGGGGACGAGGGGTGGCTCTCGTTCCGGCCGATTCGCCGAGCTGTCCTCCCGCTCGAGTCAGCTGCTCGTACACGTGCAGAAGCTTTGGTGTGCATTCATGCGTGTGTGTGTGTCCATCAGAGCCCTAACCTCAGCAGCTGTGTGTGATTTTGTATTCATATCATCTGGGGGGCTTCTTTCTTGTTGTAGTTTTTTTTCCCTTTCCTTCTTCTTCTTCTTCTTCTTCTTCCTGTCTGTGCTGACACCTTGTTCTGTGCGCTGGAGGCCCTTTATGGTCAGATCATGGATGGGAGCTGCTTCGTGTCAGCTGCACTGCCTCTATTTCTGAGTTTCCACTTCATCTGGGAAATAGTGCACAGACGCTTTTCTATTTTCAGCAGTGTTTCAAATTTAGGAGAAAGGACATCCATGCTCTTTTTTTAATAGCTCATCTTTGTCTTCCATGTTATTTCTGCCATTTTAATTTCTTCTTCTTTTTTGGTTTTCAAAGCAGTTTTGGTATGAAGTGTTACTAATTGACATTCATGAAGGTTCTCTCATATTTAAGTGCACAGCCTTAATTCATGCATTTCAAAAAATAATTGGTGGGAAAAATTATCCCGTAGCTATTGGATATAAAATTTCAACTAGTTTAAAAAAATGTTTATAAGCCATATTTGAGATTTTCAGTAATGCCTATATTCATGTACTGCAGTTAGTAGAGCAGTCTGTAATGGCAGAGAGAGACATGGTACTCAGAGAGTTTAAAACTTTGAGAAATCCTTTTTAAACCTTATTTTTGAGAGACAATGATCAACCACTTTAGGCACCTTTGACAGCTGATCACATGAAATGTTTTAAGTCTGCTCTGACCATTTAAATTTGAATTAATTTAGGTAATACTCCAAAATAGCTCCCCAAATATGTGCCCACAGGCAGGGCCGAGTGGGAAGACTTTGATAATAGATTGCATAGCTGATGAGTATAGTGTCAGACGGCTCACTGTAACTACCTACAAAATACTAAGTTTGTAAGAGTTAGTAAAAAGTAATAAATCACAGCTTAAATGGTTTAAATACAAATGTGACTAAATGATTTTTAAAAAAGAAGCGTTTGGAAAATATGTCAAATGTTAGAAATCAGTCAAAAAACATCTGGTGAATTTTAAAGCTAACATAAGAAAAATAAAAAGTCTGGACTCACTGTTTAAAATTTTACATTTCATATTTAAACACTTTAAAATTAATTTCTAACACTGCAGTAATTACATTTTAAAATGTAGAAATAATTAAATGAAGCATCACATAACTTCTTCTTCTTCTTCTTCTTTGTTTAATGATTATTTCCTATCATAGTCTGGACCCGCTGTCGAATACTCCCCGCTGGACACACACAGACACAGACGCACAGTCGGACGGGGCGAGCACTGCTTGGTAAACAATCGCAGCCACACATGCTCACGCTAGGAAGGAACATGAAAACAGCACTAATGGGAAAAAGATGAGAGGGCTCACAGCGAGCACACCCAGAGAGGAGGAGGAGAGCGAGCCGGCAGTCGGACACCGCTCGCTGCCTCAGCCCTGCATGCCGGCACACAAAAACAGCCCTCAGATAGAAAGATAGTTCCTGAGGTCACACTGTTTAAAAAAAAAAAAAAAAAGGAAAAAGATTGGTGGGTTAAAAAGCACTCAGCTGATTTACAGCCTCTGTGAACTCGTGTGATTATTTTATCCGAACGTTATATTATTATAATTTTGCTGTACTACTTTATTTCTTTCCAGCTATTAGAGCTAAATTACCTTAAATTATTTTTGCTTTTTTGTCAAATATATTTAGAATGTTTTATTTACCCACAAATTCTTCCAGTTACAATCTGGCAAACAGTCATATTTATTTGTAAATAAAAAAAAACTAAATAAAATTTTAAACATGTTTAACCACTTGCCATAATGGTCGTGCGCTGTTCCTGTAAAAAAAGAAGAAGAAGAAGGACGGCCTTGTGCTGTGAGGGGAAAGAGTGTGTCATCTTGTTTATTTTCCTTTGGTTTGCTGTCTTTTTCCAGGCCATGGGGCGCGATGATAACAAAAAAATATTGCGGGCGTCCGTGTCTTCACAGCGGACTGCCCTCCCCCCACCACCACCATTACCACCACCAGACTGGATCCGACGGGGGACCGCAGGGCCGTCGCAGCAACATTTTTGCCGTGAGGGAGAGGAGCAGAGAAGTTACCGCCTGTGAGTCAATGACGGCTCGCTGCTGATTCCCCTCACATGTTTTGCTTGTTTTTTGGGGGCTTTTTGCTTTTTTCATACAGGCCCAAATCAGCTCCCCTCTCTGTCCCAGTGAGGTCTCATCCTCCAGAGTTAATACTGGCCGCCGTCACAAGCTACGGAACTGGTCTTGATTAGTGCTACTGAACTGAGATACTTATGTACGCCACATCCTTCTGGAAAAACAAAAAAAAAAATAATAATAATTACACTCCCAAAAAATTCTCATTAATTTTTCTCCAGACTTCCAACTCCGTCTCCGCGCTCTCTGCCTTATCCGTGGTGTGTATCCACTAAGACTGAATAATATTTGGACAGGTGTTCTTTCATATACATTAACTTGAAGGAGTCTAGCGTGCAGTTTCATAAAGCAGGGGGGAAAAGAAGCATATCCTGGTGAGTGGGTTCTGAAGTTGGTGCTGTATGCTGTAGTCTGTACTGTATGTGTAATCCCTAACAATAAAAAACTGTTTAGCACTAATTTTCCTGTACTTTTAAAACCTTTTTTTCCTCCCCGTTTCAGACAAGAGGAGGCCACATCTGGAAGACAGATGTAGTCCCAGAGCTTGTTCTCTCCCTTTGACTCTTGCTCTCTCTCTCACTGCTTCTCACTCACTCTCTCTTTCTCCTGTCCTTCCCTCCCTCTCCTCTCTTTTCGGGAAACATGAGAGCCGGGCTAATTCTCTCTCTCTCTCTCTCTCTCTCTCTCTCTCTCTCCCTTTTTCTCCCTGCCTTGCTCTCTCCCTCCCACCCTGGCCGGACCACCCACATTCGGAAACGCCTAGCTGCTCCTGAGGCAGAGCCGCCGGCAGCTTAGAGAGACCAAGAGGCAACAGCAAACAAGAGAGATGTAAGGACGGGCCATGATGGACGGTTTAAGCAAGAGTGTCAATTACTGCCGTGTCAAAGCCATTGTGTGCTGCTGAGAGAGTCTGAGGGACTCATCTGCTCCAGCGTGAACCCTGGGCTTTTGTTCCTCGCACCACAGCTATCTATATCCATTCATTTTAATCTGCAGTATGGTAGAAGCCATTGTAGAAAAGCATCTCAAGAGAACACATACATACTACAAGTAACCACAGCTCATCTCTGTGAAGAACAATCACTTCAGATTAAAAAAAAATCACACTGGAGTGTACTTAAAACAGCAGCTTTTATTTGCTTGGTAGGCAGTAAATGATTATCTTTCAGTTCACCTCAGAAAACTTCAAACTTCTATATAAAGGTCAATGTCACCACCTTGTGGATTCTTCTTGGTATTGCCTCCTAACAAAAGTGTTTCAAGCCTTCCCTGTGCCCTCTCTAAAAAGCATAAAACAGGTTCAGGAGTTGTTACTTAATGATAAATAATTTCTTTAGAGATCAGTAATAGTCCACTCATAAGGACGAGCTGCTTGCAAGGTTATGAATAATCGATTTGGCTGTTGTATGATATCCTTTTTATAGGAAAGTTAAAAGGATATTCAAAATTTTCACAGTAATGGGTTTAGATGCAGTTAGTTTGACGAGTTAGTGTAGCGCTAGCTCTGCACTCTAGGTCAACTCTTTTAAGCTTGTTGATTTTTACGTTTTCGCTGACTTTTTTCATTGACAGAGGAAGGGAGGGAAAAGGGAGGGGAAAACACAAACAAACACAGCAAAGTCAGAAACTAGCTTGTGAACACAGCAGCTTAAAAGTTTGACATTTTCCTCAGAAGCTGATGGAGATCAAAAATAGAGCTAAAAGGAAAGGCAAGTTGGACAGAACCAGCCACCCCCAAATAAATTTTATTATGTGTCTTTTCACTGTGTCAAGAACCAACTATTTGCCAACGTGAAAAAAAAAGAACACTGCTAGCAAGCTTGGTTAGAAAGCTGCATTCATCAGGACATCTCGGATGCTCTGTTAGGTCCCAGTCACAGAGGCCTCCACAACCAGCTGATAACTAACGGTCTTTAGGAAAAAAATGTGCATTCCCTGATCAATTGGCAAGTGGCTGCAGAAGGTTGCGTGCTATCACTAGTTGAAATAAGGTGTGTCCAGTGCTCCACTGAAAACCTCTGATTACTTTGGTTACAGCAAACTGCTGCAGTCTCCCACAGTTTGCATGGAAGACAAGTTTTCGCTACCACTCAGTGGTTTGTTTACAGACGAGATGGCGTCTTCATGTACTTGAAGTACAGAAAGAGGCAAAGATCTGAGTCATGCCGACAATATTGAATACTAAGCTAGCAAAAAAGACAGCGGCAGTTACATTTGAGAACATACCAGCCGAAAGATTTTTCAAATCCAGCAAACCCGTAAATAATTGTCCTTATTTACGGGTTAAAACTGATCTATAAAGCATTATTTGTAATCAGGGAAACATGTTATTTTGTGTTAGTGGGTAAGCCCACAGCCCAGTAATACAGTGGTTTGTGGAACACAGAGTGGCTTTAAGGTGCAACTTAAACATGAGATTGCTTCTCATTTAGTTTTCTCTGTTTTTCTTCGCCCCACTTCAGTAGCCACAGACCCCACTGTGGCCCCAACCATACCTCCATACGTCCCTCCCACGAACAGACCGACCAGTGACCCCAGCAGCGACTCCCTTCTCACCAGAGAGGACAGCCACCTAATCCACCCAGTCAGCTTTTCCCACAAGCCCCCGAGGAAAGACGGAGCAGAGGTGGAAGGTGAAACATCAGTAGAGGGAAAAATGCTATCTACATCCACATTCAGGTCACCTATGCTCCTCTCTGCTTCTTCGCGGACCTCTTCCAATTCTTCCTCATTCTCCAGTTGGGAGTCTGTGGGAGACACCTGGTCATTCAGCTCCTCTCTTTTTTGTCTCACTATCTCTGCCTGCCTCTCTCTCACCCTTTCCTCAGCCTCCTGGTACAGAGGGCAGCTAAAGTGTAAACCCCCACTCTTCATAACTGCCTGCTCGACTTTCTCCAGCAGCTCCTCCACCGATGTCCTTCCATCTTGTTCTCCACTGCGGGCTTCCAGGGTGTGGTAGCGCTCTCCACATCTCTCCACCAGCTCTATTAGGTCCTTTCGCCATGTGACGAGGTATTCTTCCAGCTGCTCGTCCTCATCCAGCACATCTGTGTGGGTGAAGAGTATGATGGTATTTCTGCTTACAGCAGAGGAACCAAAGAGCTTCTTCAGGACATCCAGTGCCTTGGCCTCTTCATCAGCCGGCTGGTTTGCTGGGACACAGAGCAGAAAGGCGTGTGGTCCAGGGCTGGATGAGGCAATGAAGGAAGAAATGTAATTTCTTCTTTCCTCTGAGTTACAACCTGAACCGTACCAGGCTGGACTAGAGACTATCACCACCTGCAGAGACGTGACAGAAGCATAAAGAAAAAGCAATTACAATTGATTACAATGCACCTGTTTAAAAAAATGTCTGTTATTTACAAAGATTTTTTTTTTTTACTTTGGTATTCTTAAACTGAACTCACTACGTGAATGAAGTTCAGTCTGTGTGTGCATGGCAATTCCAAAATTTCTTCACAAATTTCATGGATATTTACACTTTTATAAGGATTAAAGTCAGTAAATTCAGAGATTTACTGAACACATTTTTCATGTTGGAAACAAAAGCACTGAAAAAATATGAAAAGACTGAACTACATTGGACTGCACTGTTGAGATACCTTTGCATCTTTATCTATAAGTGTGTTTAGGACTTACTCTTGTCTTAATAATACACTAACTCTATAGCAAACCCTAATATTACAGCCTTACAGAATCCACTACATGTTAGCATCAGTGGTTCTGCTGATCCACTGAAAGTTACTACAACCTGCAGTTTGCTAGCTCCCTTTGACCTGTAAATTGTTCTTGGATGTCAGAATTTGAATTGCAGAAGCCAGTTTAACACAGATTTATGGATCAATCTGTTACCAGTGAAAGCTATGGAACCAAGGAACAAATCTCAGGGCTCAAACACAACTAATTCAAATTACTACTTGAGGCTGGCTCCAAAAGCGAGTCGATCCTCTGCTGTTAAAATACTCGACTCAGAAATGAAAATAACACATTTACAGCTAAAACAGTTTTGGTCTCAAACATTTATTCACATCCTTATAACAATTGTATGTTTGTATAATCCACCTATTTGAATTTTTTAAGGCTAGTCAGTTGAGTTCTTGCTTGTGGCCCTTTGGCCTGTTTTTAATAGCTTATCTGACAAATAACAAAGCTTTCTGTGTGGCACAGCCCATCCGAGAAGTGTGCACTCCAGTTTTGGTTAGTAAAACTTGAGTATTTTATTAGTTTATTACAAGGCATTAGCCAGTATCTCTGTTCATACAGTTTACAGATGCAGGTTGGCAAGCAAGCTTGTTAGCATTAGCTTATGATACAGAAATTCACAATCTTGACCTAATACGGGCACTTCTGACTCGGAAAAAAACAAAAACAAAAAACATTGGTGGAAGCCAAACCCTAATGTTAAAAAATTAAGATTAAAAAATGTGGGTCACAACCACAGTGGCTACATCCATCTTTTATTTACAGCCTGTGTATATCTTAATCTCCCTCCCCTTCATCCTCCTGTCCTTGTCCATTGTCAGCAGTTCCTTCACACTAATAAATGTATCTTGCCTTGTTTGCTTATATTAGAATTACACTAGGCAAGCATTTCACAGCAGTATCATCCACTTTGCCTTCCTTGGAGGCTGTAAAACAAATTTAACTGCATTGACCACCCAGCAGATTCAGGTGTTTGTTTTTGCTTTGGTGTGAAGGCTAATGGTAGAATTACTGAGCCTATTAACCACATTTGTTTGTTTTTTATATATATAGTTGACCACATGAGAGCAACAGCTGCAAAGTGATGAATATATTTAGTATCAGTGTGCATCAAGATTTCACACCATAGAGTACATATAACAAGGCTATGATTTTACAACTAACGCGTTAAAACAAACCCAGGTCTGTTGGCTCAGTTTCTTTTGGCTGGTGCGAGCGCTGTAAACCAAAGCCTTGAGCAGATACGCCCCGAGAGTTTCACAGTTGCTTATTGGTTTTTTTTGCAAAATTTTGAAACCCAGTCATGCTTAATTTTGTGGGTTTTCTTAATCATTTAAATGTGCCTGGTTGGTTAAGCACACATTTCTTTTTTCCTGTGAGGTAAGAAACTCAAATGAATACTGCAAACTGGCTTTTAAATGCATTCGTGCTCATTGTTGCGTCTGAGTACATCAGATTGCATTTCAGATGAGAGGATTCAGTGATGTCGACATGCAAGAAGGTGTTTACAGGAAATGCCACTGGACAAAATTCAGACCGCATCTATCATCTGCACGATTAAGCAGCAGCACGTTAACAAGAAGAGAGAGAGAGAGAATTTATTAGGAGTTACATTTTCTTTCACACAAACATGTTTCTGTTATTAACCATTGTAACCACTGGTGTCGCCAAAACAACCAGAAATGGATCCTTAATATTTATCATGTTTATATGTTTTTAAACATATATGTTTAAAATATTAACACAAGCCCTTAAATCCTTCATGTAAATATGCCACACAGACTAATTTTCATCTGCAGTCAATGGCAGGTTTATGGCAAACATTAAGACAAACATGAATTTGATGGTCAGTTTGTCGTCTTCACCACTGTAGCTGACAGTTCTTCAGCAACCTGCTACTTGATTTTAGCATGTAGCTGTAAACCAATCAGGCATAACATTTTAACCACTGTCAGGTGAAGTGAGTAACACTGATTATCCCTTGATCGTGGCAGTTTTTAGTGGGTCCTGACTCCTGCCCACCACCAAAAGCTTCAACAATGAGCACATGAGCACCAGAACTGGACCATGGAGCAATGGACGAAGGTAGCCTGGTCTGATAAACCACATTTTCTTGTACATCACATGGATGGTTGGCTGCGTGCGCATCCCTTAACTTAGGAACATCTAGGCTCATGATGCACTGTGGGAAGAAGGTGAGCTGGCAGAGGCAGTGTGACGCCTTGGCCAATGTTTTACACGCAAACCTGGGATCCTGCGAACCATGTGGTTACTTTGACATACCTACCTAAGCATTGTTACAGAACATGAACACCCTTTCATGGAAACAGTATTAACTATGGCTGTGGCCTCTTTCAGCCGGATAATGGACCCTGCTACCAACCAAAAATGGTTCAGGAATGGTTTCAGGAGCACAATGAGTTTGAGGTGCTGACTTGGCTTCAAAATCCCCAGATCTCAATCCAATCAAGCATCCGTGAGATGTGCTGGACAAAGAAGAACAATCAATAGAGCCCTCCCCCCTTCACATTTTGATGCTAGATCAGGCCTTCAGGGGTCTAGTGGAGTCCGTGCCTCGATGGGTCAGGGCTCATTTTGGCAGCAAAAGGGGGACCAACACAATATTAAGCAGGTGGTGATAATGTTATGCCTGATTGTTGTATAATCATATTATGAACATACATCTGGCAGGTTACAGTAGGTGGACTAAATGTAGGTAAATTATTACTTTATAGACTAAACTTAAAACTAAATCATATTTAATCTAAATTGTAATAATTTTGTCTGAAACAGGCCTCTTATGTAATGAGACACTGAGTCTCTGACCACCATTATAAAAAAAAGTTAACCAAAAAAAAAAAAAAACATAAAACAACAGAGGACCCAAAATTGAACCCTGGGGTACTCCGATATTAATGTTAACTGTTTAGGAAATTAACACATTAATAGATAATAAAGTTCTTGTTTTTTTATTGACATTTATACTCATATTTTAAGGTATTGTATTTTGTAAACATCTGGCTATAATGTTTCAAAAGCACAAAAGAGACATGCAGACTTCAGAAATAAGCAGGTGAACTTATAAAGGACCACAGTCCATACTCGTCAGTTATTGTTACCTGTCTGCCCGCGACTTCCCCTCTGTGTTTGCTGCACTCCTGGACAGCATCATCATCTGTGTCCTGCTGGTAGTCTTGCAGGCCGAGGATTTTGCATATTGCAGTCTTCTTCCCTGCCCCACTCCGGCCCAGCACCACCAGCCTCAGCTCTGCTCAACAAGAGAGAGAAAAAAACGTTTTCATGACACGCTGCACTTATTTCATACACTGAAGTGTGCTCACTTTAAAGGGACCGAGTTTTTAAATTCACTTATAGCCCAAAATAACTGCCATGTATAAGCTGTCTGCTCCTTATCGTGCGAGTTGTTTACAGAGATAAGGCCCACCCTGTTTGCCGGGTGTGCGTGTCGTAAGCTCGTCTGCTACATTGAGCTTTGAAGCGTTTCACCTCAGCTGGCTGCGCCCTTTGCAGCTGCTGCTTCCCGTAAACCGACCGTGGAGGAGCCGCGCCCCTAACTTTCCTTTCTTATTTCATGGTTTCTGCCCCCGAAACGCCACATGCGAGACAATTTATCAAACCTACCTGACTGTGTAGCAGATGCTGACATTTCTGTTCCTGCTCGCTGTCGTATGTAGCGTTGAATCAGGCGTAAACACACACTTCCTAATTCCTGCGGGCTGACTCAGCCCTGCCTCTGACACTGAAGTTCACTCCGCCAGAGGTGAACACAGCTCCATCTGTTGTGGGAAGTGTTGATGGCACCATGCGCACATCAGGGCATGGATGTCAGCACCGAAGTTTACAATTGTTAACTCGGGGGGAATAATTTACTCAGTTTAACTGGATGACTTTATTTATCAAATGACCAGTTGGTTTTTGAGCATAGACTTCTTACTCATAAGGTAAGACAGATAAGCCATTTATAACTGCACCAATCCATCTGCTGTTAATGCAAATATCTAACCAGCCAATACTCAGTGCATTTAGAAATGCAGACATGGTCAATATGACCTCCTGAAGTTCAAACTGAGCATCAGAATGGGAGAAGAAAAGTGATTAAAGTGACTTCGAACATGGTCTGGATGTTGGTACCAGACGGCCTGGTCTCAAACTGCTGATATACTGGGATTTTACCACACAAACACCTGTAGGGTTTATACAGTTGTCTGAATAAAAGAAAATATCCAATGACTTAGTTAACTGTAATTTAAATAATTACAGCCACAGTATGCACAAGATCTGACTAAACAACGCATCAAACCTTGAAGCTGATGGGCTCCAGCAGCAGAAAACCACACATGGTGCCAGTCCTGTCAGTTATGAAAAAGAAACTGAGGCTACAGTTCACCACAATCAGAGAGTAGTGGATGGTACCTGGTCTGACGAGTCTAAATTTCTACTGTGAAAACTGAATGGTAGGGTCAACATTTGACATAAACATGGAAGCATGGACACTCAGAATTCATTAAAAAATATTAGCTGAATCTGGGAAGTGATCATTTTAATGTTGCCACATGGTTCAAGTTTAAGCCGGCGGTGAATTGTTGGAACAGCTCTTCACGACAACAAAGTCACACCTAAAGGTGTATTCAATCAAGTTTTCACATGTTATATACACAGTAAAATATTACATGTATAAAATGAGTCATTTATACAGAATAAAAGAACAACTAAGCAGATGTGAAATATATTACATTATGTCAGTGATTAGCAGGGAACTTAAAGGTTTCTGTACACTTCTGTAAAAAAGAAAAAAGTTCAATATGTAGACATGTATTGAACTCTCACGCAATTAACGTGCCACTGAAGAGCTAAGCATACACAAACACACACATTCAGTCCACTACATCCATCCATAAAACAGACAGTTGTACAGTAACAGTAAAACCAAGCTGACGTGCCTTGTAAGATTAACATGTTCCATTCAAAAATACAGCAATTAGAAATCTAAGAGAAACAAGTTCTTAAAAAAATACACTTTAAAAACACATCGATGCTAAAAATATCCACATTTTTCAAATGCCAAGCCGAGGCTTAAATTAAAGTCCAAAGGATCTCCCTGGTCAAGTGTTTCTCCCAGATTTCCAGTTATCTTTTCCTCAAAGTCCAGGCATGATGTAGGCGATGTTGTCCAATGTATTTGACTGACAGAAGGAGACAAGAGCTTTGTTAGCAGTTAGCGATAAAAACCACATATTATACATTGAACGGTTATCAAAAACAAGCAGAAACGTTTAACAGCAGAATCTGTGAAGAATTGAATGAAGCTGATGGTACGATACCAGGACGTTTCGAGGACATCCATTTAACTGTGGTATCTGTGCTGTGAGACAGGTCAGCGGGCCCAGCGCGCACAAGATAGAGTCCAGAAGAACAGACAAACTCCCGGATACAGCCACCATCCCCTAGTGCGAGAAAACATGGCTTACTGGTTTCATTGCACATTAACAAATTCAATTTAAAACTTTGCATTTATGATTTTATTTCTAGATAAAAGCTTTTATAGGTGTGCGCATTTAAAACTCACCTCTGTTTCCTGGAGCCGATGTCCAATTAGGGACAGAGACTCTCCCAGCAGCTGCAGGTGAGCCGCTGCATCGATGGGATCGACATCTGGGACTCGAGCCGGGGACAAGGACATGGTGCCAGGCGCTCTGGTTGGAGACACCACTCCTGTCGATGTCCCTGCAACTTTACAGAGAAAACGGCACTTACAGACGGCAGCAAAGATCCAACAGTGAGTGGACTAAAAAAAAACACCGCGCTCACAGTCAAATATACCTTTGCTTTTGGTCTCGCTGGACGTCTTGTGTTTGACCGTCGTGGCTTCAGCTTTGTTTTGTTTGTGCTGCAAATACTGAGCTTTCTGCCTCCAAACCTACAGAAAAACACACACATGAAGCACACCACCAGCACTTAAGTGTAAGCCACACTGGATTATAGCAAAAGACAAAAACCTACCAGCTTGTCCTTTTCAGGCATCGCCTTCCAAACCTCTGCCAACTTTTTACTCAGTTCGCCAAACACTGCAGATTATATGCAAACCCATTCAGTTTATATGTTTTTTTCTTACCGTTAGATTTAAAGTGCTTCATCACAAATTATACTGTATTTCAACGTTTTTCTCACCTAGTCCCGGCTGTTCTGCATTTATGTTGACCCTGTACTCCTTACAGAACACCTGATACGCTGTTGTGTTTTTCTTCTTGGGCTTGATGACAGAAAAACAACAACAACAATTGAGCACATCATTAACATTTCCTTACAAAGAACGAGAAATGTAACTAAATACTATCTCACCTTATCTTTATCCTTCTCGTGCTTGTCTCGATCTTTGTCCTCCTTCTTCTTCTTCTCTGTCGTACCGTCGCTGCCTTGGTGGTGGTGCGGAGGGATAGGCGTGCCCATGGCATACATAGGGCCCACAGCACTGTGAGTGACCGTGAGATGGGAGTGACTGTGGCTCTTTGATGAGTCTGGTGACAGTCATACAAAGATAAATGGGCAGATGTAGAGTTAATTACACTGGCTTCAGAAAAGAAATGGGCCCTTTTGTGAAACATTGTTATGGATGGAGTCAGTATTAATACTCATCAATTCAACTGCCCAATAACTGCATTAATTCCCTTCTCCTCTAAGGAAGCAATGACACAATCCTGTGTTGGTCTCTGATGACAGTTTAGTACCTGAAACAGCCTCAAACAAAGCACAACGCTTTGCAGAATATGCAAGAAAACGGTTCCTGCTAAAAGTGGAAACCACAAAAACACGATCAAGTACAACCAGACTATGAAGGAGGAGATACTAGAAGTTGGTGTTATGCAGTCTAAAAGCAAACAAATTTACACCATATGACAGGAAGAGGAAATTACTGATTAGGTTAGACGGTGGGAACGCTGGGTTTTAAGCAGCTGGATAAAAAAGTTCAACCCAAGATCCAACATCCCAGGTGGATTTTTTTTTTTAAATCACTAACAATATTGTGCAGCTGCTGACTGCCACTAATGGCAGTAGCTAACTGGAAAAGGAGGATGGCAAATAACCTTTATTTACTTAAACTTATAAATGCTGCTGAATACAAGTAGCATTTTTCTATATCATCAGAAATATTGTTATTGAGAATCTGGAGCCTATAGCACCCTCCTCCCAGTGGTTTTTAGCTCACACTTAGTTCAAAGTGCTTCAAAGTGACTAACTCAGAGAGGGCCCTCATGACTAACCCCACCCGTTAAACATGCCTCCAGGCCGGTATCACTACTAGAAAAAGAGGTGGTGGCTGCTGTTTAACCTACATCATTTTAAGCTATAAAGCTTCAGCAGTCACATCAATTCATTTCAGCTTAAGCGTGCTGTAAAATGTAGCAGCAGTGAATAGGAAAAGAATCACTGGCTTTTCCCCTGCCAACGTTACAGCTGTGTTTACATTACAAAGAGCTTTTAAAGACTTCAGCCTCTAAATGCCACCTCCTTCCTTGATATCATTTGCGAAAGCTCTCGGTGAGAACTAAAGGATAATGAAATGCTTCTGCTTCAAACCTAGCTAAATCCCACACTCGACGGTGTCCTCGAAAGCAGAGTTTCCTGGCAGAAACCTTCAAATGCCATTTCCCTTAGTCATCAAAAGCCACTGTGTTGACAGCATTAATCAGAAGACAAATCACATCATGAGACATTCAAACCGGTCAGGTCCCATTCATCAGTCTGCTCAGACTGTTTGTCATAATGTTGTTTGCCAACTTCACACACTAGTTTTTATCTTAATGTACTTGACATGACAACAATATACTCTTACCACAGTTGTTTATTCTTTTTTGTTGATCACATTTTTATGTTTATCTTTATTTTGAACACTATGCACAGTGTAGTTTGTTTTATCTTTATCATTGTTTATTCTATTACAGTTGCATTGTGTGGTTACTGCTGATCCTTGTTTCATGCTGAACTGGGCTTTCATGAGGCAATCACTTACCTATGCCTCACTGACTTGAGGTGAACACTGAACCTGAACATAGGAAGCCGATTTTAAAAATGCTTTATGAAAACAGAGGATATCAGACACCTGAAACATTTAGTTTGCTAGCCCTAGAAATGTGTCTGTCACCCAGAGAGGAACAGCTCAGGCTCCACTTGCCCTCCTCACGCTGTCGAGCACTGAAATACTTTCCAAGTTAACTCATTATCGCCTTGCAGCTGTTTGTTTGTTTTTCTGTCTTTTTATCCAACACAATGACAGTGGATTTGATTTTGACATCTGACAGTATGTTACTATTTTTTTTTTTAAATGGAGCATAAACTGAAGCTAACTGTATCTCAAGTAACTACAGACTTATACAGACATACACTGTTACCTTCACTTGAGGTGGAAAAACGTTCATATTTAGCCAGTCCTCTTGGACACTTTGCTTAAGCAATCAGCCTAAACTATTTTTAGAGAATGCTGAGTTTTCTGGAGTTGCCCTGATGTTTAATTTATTTTTAACTTAGTGTATTGCATTTAGCTGCGTTTTCTGAAAGACTGATTGCACCACATTAATACCATGACTCAGGGTAGTTATACCAAAGCGCATGACTTTGGTATAACTACCCTGTAAAACACGAATTTAAGTATCACTGTATCAATGTTAGTGCATTTCCTAAGGTTCCTAACATTAGAAAAGTGTATTAGTATAGTAAATCAGCACGTGTTATGTTGTTAACAGTTATGGTTACAGTTATGCTGACACTTTTAACAACTAACAAAAACCATGGGGAGAGTTGAAGCTGACTAAAGCTAAATTTTCCAAGTGAAACCCTGATGCAGCAGGTTTCCTCTTGTCAGCCATAAGGAAACCAATTATTAAATGTTGGCATGAAACCACAATAACTGCTGGCAGCTAGACATGAGTCTGGCTAGCTGGCTAACTAGTAAAGACGGTCCCAAAAAGTGTAAACTGTGTTTTTATGATCATGTATAAACAATAGAGACGCCTCTGTTTCCACAGTTTGATTCCAATACCAAAAATGCAGGACAAAGTGTTTCCAAAAAAATGCTTCTGAGTGAACTCACCGCTAAATCCTTTGCTGTGCTTCTTGTCCTTCCCACTTTTCTCCTTGTCTCTGTCTTTTTCTTTGTCCTTTTTCTTTTTGCTTTTCTTGCTCTTCTTCTTCTTTTTTGACAAGTGCGTATATGAATCGTCTATAACCAGTTCACCTGCCTCCAGTTCTGCCCCAGAAGAAGAGCTTTCATCTCCCATGCCACCTCCATAATGTCCTTCATACCAGAGTAGAATAACAAATATTAATTTAAGAAAAAATAAAAACTGAGGAAATGGATAGTGTGCTGTGTATACAGAACTGTGCAAAAGTCTTAAGTCAGACTTTTTTTTGTAAGTGATTAATCCAAATTTGAACATTTTTTGATCGAATGTACAGATTCATCCTACCTTCCACTTCCACCTCTTTCCCCACCACAGGCAGCGGATCTCTATTCTGCTGCAGCTTCTTCTTGGGCGACTTTGAAGGTAGTGCCCCCTCCCGATCCTTCTCTTTCTTCACCCCTCCTTTGGAGGAGTGCGGCGTGCATGGGAAGCTCTCTCCCTCCTCTTTCTCTGGCGACATGATGAGCTTCATCTTCAGCCCATCCGCTTCACGTAATGTCAAGGGCTCTTCTTTGGGGACGCCGCCGTGGAACAGAGAGGATTTGGAGGAAGAGGAGCTGGAGGAGTGCTTCTTGGAGGAAGATGATGACGAAGAGGTGGGACGGGAGTGAGAGAAAGAAGAATGGCTCCCCGTGCTTCCACCGCCGCCGCTGCTCTCACGTTTGCGGTCCTTGGAAGAGTGCGAAGAGAAGGACGGGTAGGAGGGCTTCTTATGCAAGTGGGGGCTGGGATCTGAACCTGTGGCCAGGGGAGAGGTGATAGCCTGCAGGAGACCCATCGCCGTATCTGTGGGATGGGATGATGAGGGAGAAGAAAGGGGCGGGGAGCGGTCCGAAGACTTGTGCTTCTTCTTGTGGGGAGGAGGGCCTGAACCATCATGGTCTGTTGAGAGAATAAAAAGGAAGAAAAATACAAGCTCAATTACAAGAACACAACATGACAATATATCTTCCCAGTGTTAAATTAAAACACAACCACTCACCTCTGTAATGGTAGTCATCGCTATGCTTTTTCTTCTTTTTGTGTGATTCTCCTCCCAGCATGAAAAGTTCTGAATCCTGATTTGAAAAATATCAAAACCATAATAAATAGCTTCCATCATGAACACTGACGGTGAGCTACTGATGACAAATAACTTACCTTAGGCCTTTTCTTGGAAGACTTCCGTACTTCAGCAGCAATCTCCTCCTCTTCCCTCAACAGATCTTTGTACGACCTCCTCTTCTCCCTCTGGCTGCGACCAGCCACGAGCCCCCTGTCTCCCTCCATTCCCACATCTAAAATGCACAAAATCCACGTCATATTTCTGGCTTCCACAAGAAAAAAAACCCCTAATTATTCTGGTCACATGTGCATCTCATTCAGAAGAGCAGCGATTAGACTAAAATGCAGTTTTGTTACAGTTCGTTTGTGTTTCTGGGGGTACTAAAGTCACACTTCATTACCAATGGCTTCTCTACCCTTGATCTCCTCAAAAGCCATGGTCTCCCCTTTGCCAACACTTGATATGAGATGTCAGACAACACACCGACCTGTTAAGTAAAAACACCAAGAGCAAAAATCAAAACACTAGTCCAGACATTAAATAACATATCAACACCAGGGGGAAAGAGAGTCAGAGCAGTTTCAGTAAATGTTACAAGTGAAAATAATAGTCAGGTATAATTTCCTTGCAAACAGATTATGTCTTGCTTTAACTATTCCCGGTTAATCCTACACTCAGCCCTCGAAGCAGCTTGGATGTACCTAAAAGTGCTCAATGAGTAGCAGTTACTTCAGGAAAAATGCTATTTGTGTTATACTGCATTTATAATATGGCCCCACTCCTATAAAAAGAGTTACAGAAAATTACAGCTAAAGAAAATTTCCCGCCTACTTTCGTAAAGATACACAAACACACCCCCCTCTCTATCCACTTTCACCCTGTCGCTTCCCAACATTTAAAGGCTCCCAATCAGTCATGCCGAGTGTGCCTTGAGCTAGCCGGCGAACAGCGCTAAGGAAAGCCCGAGGCTTTTCCCACAAGCTAGGCCGCGGTCAGCTCAAGTGGACAAAAGAAACCCGCGGGCATGCGTTTAACTCCGCTCCTGTCTCCATCTCCTATGCAGTGCAAGAATGTGTAGTTTGGAAACACCGGGAGGTGAAGAAAAATAATTTTTACTACCTCCAAGAGATCTCCAATTTACGCGGGTCCCGTCGCCATCTTTAGTATCGGCGAGACAATACGCGTCGGTGCGGGGGGAGGGGCTTAGGTAACGTAGCCAATCGGCGTAAAAGTAGCCATATTAGCAAGCCTTTGATTAAATCTCTGTATCCACTGAAACAAATGACAACTACAAAGGCCCTCTCATATAAAGACACAGACAAAAATACTATACATATATCCAAAGATAACAATTTATTGATTTACATCAGTTTCTAACAACCAAGTCAATCTTACAGTACAGTTCACACAGACATGCAACACAAGAGGAAAAGGCAACGATACAAAGAGGCTGTCCATAAGAACCAAAAATCACAACAGTGATAAATGTTAAATTATTTTGTCTCAAATAATCTTTACTGGTAACCTGCAAGAAATTAGCATGAGCACACAAACACAATCGCACGTTGACTCAAATGCTGTCACTCGCGCAGCACTTCCACTAGCTTCCTGTTCTCAGTGTGTTTTGTCCTGGTGAGGGGGGTTCTTATATGATTAGCATCTAATCATTTTAGCCAAGATAATAATGTTGTGTAGCACTGTTAGCACCCTGGACAAACTGCGAAACTCTCACCGTTGTTTAAGTTCAATCACCAAAACGCACAATTTTTGGCATTCATTAATTTAAAAATAAAAAACGTCAGCATAACATCAAAACAACACTCATTTAAACACACACACACACACACACACACACACACACACACACACACACACACATATATGAAGCCACATGCAGTGGCTTTGTACCCCACCAGTGAGGTACAGCCCACAGTTTGAGAACAACCAAATAATTACCAAAACAAACATATATAACAAAAAGTACAACTGTTCCAAAGGGCAATTTATCTTAACGCTCAGTTTAAGAGATGACCACAGCGTGGTGGTTCAGCTCGTGCTGGCCAGGTCGAAGCTAGTAAAGCAGAAGCTTGTGCCCCCCCCCCAAAAAAAGAGGCGCTGAGTTTCACTTCTTCAGTGTTTTATCTTCTACCTGTCGCCCAAATTCTGTTTCTGTAGACTGAGTGATGTAAAACTGGCCAATAAGTCAGTCACTTCATCCACCTGTAAGAAAACCACAGAGCTGTGTAAGAGCTGGTGAGAAAAAAAAACACAAATCTAAAATACATATTAAAGTTTTGTTGCGTTGTCCAAATATTATGCGTCCATCTGAATAGGAGAATTGAAGACTGAGTGATGAGGTCTCACCTGCTCTTTGGTGCGCGTGTGCTCCAACTGTGTCGAAATGTGCTCCAGCCTCTCTTTAGCTTCACTCTGGCCCATTAAATTCAGGTATTCTCTCAGCATCTGAATAATCTGACAGGCAGATAAAAAAAAAAACATAAAAATTCTCCATCAATGGGGAAGAGCGGCAGAGTCAGACTGCGTGTTTCCAAACTCAGTTTGCATCTACTATTCTAAGAAAGTAAAGCCATTTTCTACCTGTGTGACTTCCCCTCTCAGTGTTTCTAAGCTGCGTGAATCTCCCTCCTGCAAAATGTTCAGCTTAGAGCGTGCTAGATGCAGTGGGGTCCTGCCAGCTCGATCAAGGGCATCCACGCGGGCTCCTTAAGAAAAACAATAACAAACAAACCTCTCAATTACCCATTACCTTCAATTGCCTTTAAATTCTAATTAAGTTATCATCACATTTCCTCATTTATTAACTCAGATTAAAGATGGCAGCCATGAAGAAATCAATTATCAAGCTAACGAGTTTCCCGTCCAACATATGAGCTACATGGTTTGTTTTTTTCTAGTGAGGCCTTTCTGGTCAGATGGGAATATGGCACAATTTGGGGAAAAACAACAGACATCCACAGGGCATTTGAGTCAAGAGCCTCATTTGGTGTTGTAGATCAAAACCAGAGATTGTATATAAAAGATGGACAAAGTCACTGTGACATCACCAACTGTTTAGCGAAACCCTGTTACGAAGGTTTCTTGCAGTTCTGAAACCAGAACTGAAGAGTGAGGGGCAGTAAGGCCAAGAAACAAGAATACTGCAAGCTTAGAGGCTGATGGAGGCTCAATCACACAATAAAGTGAGCGTACTGATCAAGGGAGGTGGGAATATTATTTGATAGATTTCTATAAAACCAGATGCGTCGCCTCCTTGTGGCCATTAAAATGAGTCAGAGGTTCTGGGCACTTCCATATTTGCATAGTTTTTCAGATCTGGAAGCTATGTCCATCTTTTACATACTCAGTCCATGCTCAAAACCTGCCTCAAGCTGTCTTTCTTCAGGCTAATATTAGCTTGTGTACTTTATTAATTTATTAGCTAACACCATAAATTAGCCACCGCCAGAGTCAAGTATCATGTCTAATTTAAAGCTAGCTGGCTAACTACAACCCTACTAACACCACATTGTACTGCATGTTGTCTGGTGTATTACCATATCAGGACACTCTGTGGTGAATTATTAGCAGCTGATAGACAAATCTCTGATCGGCTGATGCATATGCACTGGATTTTAATTATCTGCCAGACTTGAGTGTTAAGTTTTTGGACAAACTACACTGGTAAAAAACAAATGTCATTGTAACTGGAGTACTCCACCCCCATTTCCACTGTTCCAAGTGCTTAAAAAGAAACATGCATGAATTCTTACACGTTTCCTTAGGGCGATACACCTCCTTATAATATCTAAAGCAATATAGTTCTGGTAATTGTTTCACAAAGATGGAGAATTTAGCTGCTGTACAAAAGTCTTACCTCCCCTTAGCAGTGTGGTGATTACAGGCACATGGTTGGTACAGGCCGCTGTAGGAACATGGGGTGAAAAAAGTGAATTGTGAAAGAAATACACGATCCGATGCAGAAATCTGACTTCAGTTTTAGTTTTGAGTTTTCTGGGTCATGGTCTCTTACCCAGATGGAGGGGGGTATTCCCCAGACTGTCTCGCTGGTTGGGGTCAGCACCGTGGCTCAGCAGCAACTGCACTATAAACATAAAACAGACATTGGGAAAGAACAATGATCAACTGATATTAAATCCAGGTAAAGGTAAGGACATTTATGAGCATCAGTCAGAGTTATATGAAGCGCAGTAAACAAAATCTGCCACTGACAACCTACCAATGCTCTCATTGCCATTGCACGAAGAGAAATGAAGAGCTGTCCTTCCTTTGTCATCTGCTGCACAGGGGTCTATATCATCTTGCAGGAGCTTTCGGACTGAGGAAGAAAATGTGAATTTCAAAAAAAGGAAATAGAAAAACACAACTTGAAGTCATCCCTCCCAGACAGTGCTCGCAAGGTGTTTTACTGTATTCGCCCATGCTTTTCTTTTGTTTAAGCAAGACCCCATGCAATTCTCTCCTTCTGGGTATAAATGAAAAGTCACTCACTCACCTCCAACTACTTAAAAATGCAGCAGCTAGGCTTTCTGATGTTTTAGCAAATGTCATCACATCACCTCAATCCTGACCTTTCTCCTTGTAGAGTTGATCTTTAGGCCTGATTTTAACTTGTGGGGTGAAACTTTGTGAAGGCTATGATGTAACCTACACTGAAGTGGTCAATGTCGTTGGTGGCATTTGTGCTGGTGCATTAATTACAATGTGGTCACGTCGCAGTGTTTTACTGGCTATTCCAAGAGTAAAAATTACATTTAAAAGCCCAAGGCTCACAAAAAGCACATTTTTGTTAGTATTACTAATTATGTTGGCAATTTGTCTTTCATGTATGTCTATGCCGTGTTTTCCATGTAATCTCTAATGTTACCCTGTTCTGTTTTTGGCTTTAATGTCAGCCTTTCTTTTTAAATTTAATATTCTGGCTTTTGCCTGTCTGTCAACCCTGTTTTAATCTGCTACATAAAAAAAACATTGTTCATACCTGTGTCAATATCATTGCTGTTTGCTGCTTCCCTCAGTCTTTTGGCAGCTGTTAAAAGAAAACATTCAATGACAGGGACATTAGTATTTCTTCCGGATTTCATGGAAAGAAGCAAACTGCACTGCATTAGATGTGAGACCTTATACAGAGGAGCATTTTATCAATTAACAACACAGGAATAAGAACTTCAATACTGAGAATTATGTTCTTATTCACTGTGACACATCTTCTCAGCATGCATTACTTACTGACATGCATTTTCACTGTTACCATACCAGCTCTCAGTTTATGTGACATTAGCAGTATGAGTTAGTGCTGGTTAGTTAGTTTCAAAAGAATTTGCAAATTGATGATGATTCATCTCATGACATAACCTTTATAGGTTAAAAGCATCGGTATCGGCAACACTCGACCTGTTATTCACTTGGTATCGGATCGATACCAACATTTGCAGTCTTGCACAGCACTACTTAGTTTGTGCAGCGACATTTTCAAACACATAACTACAACTCCGCACACACTATTTCTTTTACCATACCGTTGCTTACCATAAACATCTTTACCGATGGGACCCAGGTTCCGCACGGCTCTGTGGTGCCGCCTGGCCCTGCTCCCCGTTATCTTCCCCAGTTTGCACGCCACATCACCCGCACCGAACTCTCCTCGCCCCGGCTCCCACAGCAAGTGCAGGTACCTCAGTTCTTTGTCGTCTCTCTGTCCGAGTCGACCCAGCACCACTTTGCCCTCCCCTGTCCCACTCATCCCAAACCCGACAGCACCGTTGCCCATGTCGTCCATCCCGTCCACGTTACCCCGCTGCTGCTCCCTGTCCGCCGCTCCCTCTACGGGTCCCTGCTCCACCATGTATTCCCCCTCCGAGCTGGACGGGTCATTATCCGAGGCAGGGATAGCGCTCCACCCATCCATACTTTATCTTGGCATAGAGAAGCTATTTTTGCGCTGTACTCGTTGCATAAGGTACCTTACAACTCCTGCTGAAGCTAAAGGGAAATAAAGCCGCGAGTAGCATCGGGAGTCCGCCTCGTCTGAAGCATGTTTATCTTGCACCGACTCTTCGGGCCGTTACACAGCGTCAGAAAACACAGTTACTCTCCCGGTGGCGTCACTGCATCCTGGAAAAATGTAAAGTGTTTAAACTGCGGACGCCTTTTTCCTTCACACATCAAAATGTCCCCTATTGCACATTTTCCACTTCATCGGGTAAAAGCCACGCCCATCATACAGCCAACAACCTCGAAGTATGAATCACCAATCAGATTAAGAGATGCTCACTCACTTCCGTCCAATGGCACGATCGCAATCGAGCAGCCAATCAAACTGTTCCAGTGCTGGGCCGACGATTGCGCTGGGCATGCGCACTGAGAAATGCACTAATGTTACCCAAAAGCCAATAATTTAAATAAAAAAAAACAAACAAAAATAACTAGAGTTTCCTTTTTGATGTTTGTTTAATCATTTACCATAATTTTTATGCATAAATATTTGTGATACCCACCCTCCACCTGTAGAGCTTTACATGATATATAGATCTGCATGATATGAAAATAACACACAACATCCTGTATACAAACACTTGTGAAAATAATTACTTGGGAGCTTTTATGGGACAGCGTACCTCTCCCTAAAGTGATGAGCAGTGGTTTCCAATCTGCAGGTCTTGACTCCCAATGATGGTCACATGATATATCTAAAGCATCAGCAGTCAGCTTAGAGAATAGGAAATATATCAACGTGATATAATAAAGGATAATTGTAGTTCTTTGTTTTATTTAATACTTTGAATACTAATAACATAAAGAAGGGAGAATTAGTCTTTGGTTGAAACAATCAAGCAGCAGAACTCTCTAAGAAAAACTGCTTTGTTTCAAGCCGGTAAACAGGTTGTGAAACACAGATCTGTAGGATGGCATTCTGTCCAAAAAAGATTTGGCCTCGTGGAGGTAATGACTGCAAGTGCTGGAGGTAGCAATTCTGAAAAATCTTACAGGTGCATGCTGCACGCTTAGGTAAAACAATCATAAGTCAAGTTTCAGTCCTGAAGATACGGATGCTCCAGCTGGTGCCAGGTAATTTGGAAATGTCGAGTCAGCATCGGATGTGCCTACGTCTTGCTCGGTGTGCGTCAGTCCTGCGTCATGAACGCGCTGTCGCAGCTGGCTGTTGCGAGGGATCCCCTGCTGCTTCAGGTATCCCTGCTGGCAAAACAGTGGTGGCATGCGGTGGGTGAGGGATAAGTGGAAGCAGGATTCTGAAAAACCGGAGGACAGAAGGGAATGAGTCAATCCGCCAGCTGCTGAAAGAAGTCATGTTATTTGTCTGATCATTTCTTAATTCCATTTAAATTTAGAACAATGGATTACACAGGGAATACATTAAATTACAGTAGATGTCTTTCTGAAAGTGATTTTTACTATTATTACCTTCACTATTATCTTCTTCAATACCATTGCCAACACAGTGCAGAGGAGCTACCTAAACATAAACTGAAAGCATGCTTTATTCACAGGTGTACTTCTTCTCTTAGACGTGTTTCTCTGGAAAATTTAAAAACTGAAAAAGTAGGAACATACCATTCTTTTTTTCCAGATAAGCTGTTAATGTGTGCATTACCTGCATAGAAGGCCCTGAGGTCAGTCTGGAGACAGTGCTCCAGGAAGCGTCGCAGTGGCTGGATGTGAGATATTGGAGCGTCCCATTCTGTGAGGAAGTCCTCCACTATGTGATGAATGGCTTGGGGGCGCGGTAAAGGCCAGCCGTTGGGACGTAGCTTCATTTCTTCCACTGGGGGAAAAAAAAGATCACATTTTATTTTTTCCCTGTCAAGTATACAGCGAATCTTTTTTTGATGGTGACACCATTCCTACTCACCAGAAGGTAGTGTTTTATAGTAGTATAAAACAGGGTGAAGAAAGTTGGATTTCCAAGCATTAGTCCACTCTGTTTCTGCCCTGCTGCGCCCCAGATAGTCTATTTTCTTCTTCCCATATTGCATGACTACAACTATTAGTCCATGCATGGAGACATCGTGGCCAGAAAGAGAGGAGAGCTGAGGCAGGGCCTGGAGTGGAAACTCTTCCAAGTATTCACAGTGAGACCTTAGAGTCAAGTAGAAAGGAGAATAAAATATATAATGAATATCAACAACTGCAGCTTTGTTTCTTGTGATGATGTAAGGCGGTGTCATAGTTTGGAGACTTTACTCTTCTGGCAAAGAAGGACAATAACTGCCTAATATTGAAGGAACTGGACATCAATTTAGTTTGTTCGAAGATCAGAGTGAAATGAATGTATTTGATTAAACAGGTATTCTGTTCTAGTAGCTGCAGCTCCAGCAGTGTAAAACAGGCTAAACAGCAGATTATAATCAAGGATAAAAACATTTTCTCAACAATACAAGCACATTTGTTTGACAATGCAACTTAGGCATGTAGACATGATCACTTTGAGCTCCCACAATTCAAACTGAGCAACAGAATGTGGAAGAAATGTGATTTAAGTGACTTTGAACATCGCATTGTTGCTGGTGTCAGAGTGTTTGAGACTGAGTGTTTGAGAAAGTATTGATCTACTAGGATTTTCCCCACATTACCATCTCTAGGGTTTAAAGAAAATGTCCAGTGAGCAGCTGTTCTCTGGCTAAAAATGCCTTGTTGATGCTGCTTTAAGCCGATAGGATGACAACAGTAACTCAAATAACCACTTGTAACAACCAAGATATGTAGATGAGCATCTCTTAATGCACAGCATGTAAAAACTTGAAGCAAATGGGCTACAGCAGCAGAAGAAAAATGTTGCCACTCCTGAACAGGAAACTGAGGAAAAGATTACACAAGCTTACCAGAATTTGCCAACAGAAAACTGGAACAGTGCTGCAATTTTTGGAAGGTAGAATCAGATCATGGATACCCATGTTTTAGACTGCATACTTATTACTTGTAAAAGTGGCCTTTGACTACAAGGGATGCCCCAAAAAGTTAGCTGCTCCCCCCAAAAGTCAGTATGAATTCTGAGACTATCAGGACATGTAACCTAATAAGCATGAATGAGCAAGAGTGGAAAAAAGAGAACAGCTGGAACAAGCAAGCATGCAATAAATACTTACCCTCGAAGAAGTATGACATCTCCAAGCACCTCAAACATCTGGTATGGCCCCGAGGCCTCGTCGACCCGCTTCAGAATCCACGACTGCAAATGTGTTGCCAACAGTTGTGTTGATGGCCACGCGTTCCTGTGGTAACGGTGTTCAAGTAAACGATGTACAGCTCGTGCTGTGTTAGACAAAACACAGTTCATGTTAAAATCATCCTGATCACAGGTCGAACTGGCACAAAATTCACTTTTCTGTCGTACCAACTACATTTGCAATAGATCATCTGATGCCACGGTGCCTTTAACAAACGGTGACGGGAATTTCAAAATGTCACAAAACAACAGCAGTCTGTCACCTGTGTAACGGAATCCATGCACAAAGCCGCCAGCAGATGAGCGATAGTCTCTGGAGTGAGATGCAGTTCCCAGCACGAACAAACCCGGGGTGTTCTTCCCTTCGTACCAGGGCGTCAACTCAGGCAACCTCCCTTTGGCATTTTCACTGTTCGGTGGGCAGGCGGAGCTGAGGAGAATTTTTTAATACGATATGAGCAGGCTTATCTTACATATTGTGCTTAGATAGAATAAGAAGAGCACGTAACATCAGCCTTCACCTGTCAAATATGCTGAAGTTGAACCGGAATCCGAGGCATCGGATGACTCGATCATAGGGTTTTCGCATGGGGAAGTTGTCGATGTGATGCCCCGGCAGTTCTTCCTGTGTCGCATCAAAACTGTTCCTACTGTGCATGTACTTATTTAACGTGAGATACAGCTGTTTCCTTTTCTCTTTCTTCTTTCCACCCAGTCTCCTCTTGCCTTCCTCCTTTTGTTGAGCGATAACGATCTTCTCCAGACGGGCCTCCGCCAGCCCATCGAGGGACTTCAGCTGATACGTATCTATCAGCTCATTATTCACAGCTCTGGATAAGCAGGGGAGCAGGTTTAAGAAATAAAATGGGACATAATAAGTAATGATTGTTTTGAAACCATCCTTTATTTTACCTGAGATCTCCCACGTAATGCGTTTGCCACGCAAGGCGAACGGGGCTGGAACTGAGCATGTGCACCCGACTCGCTCTTCCTAAGATGCTCTGGGCTGTTTCAAAAGCAGAGTTTCCCTTTCCCAGAATGAGCACGGCCTGGTCCTTGTAGTCGTCGGGGTTAGTGGAGATGGACTCATAGCCCTCAACCAGGTCTGCACCGACAAAGTCCACCGTGTGAGGAACCCACAGGCCCGTGGCTACCAGGAGGACGCTGATGGAGAGAGGACAAGAGTGCAACAGAACAATCCAAACCAATGCAAATTTCTCCTCCGAGGATCATCAAGAGACAAAATACCTGCACGTGTAGTCTGACGCATGTTGGTCAGTCAGGATGTAGTGTCTTCCCGTTGCAGACTGCACTGCCCTGATCCTCCCAACATCAACACCATACTGTACCCTCAACCCTAGCTCCCCCACAAACAAGGACAGGTACTGAGGGAAGGCGTCAGCGGGCGGGTAAAAGTCATCGCTGACCCTCTTGAAGAGGAGGTCAGGTTTATCGCTCAGCAGCGAGTTCCAGTCGTGGCGCAGGTTGAACTCTCGGTTCCCCCTTCCGGTGTAGATCTTATTGATGCTGATGAGCTTCCTGTGCCTGGGATACCTTGCCATGCACAAAACAAAGCAGAGAAGACGTCCCTCAGAGTTTATACGGGAGGATAACGCGTGTGTTATGTTGAAAGCTCGCCCAAAGTTCCTTACTTGTTGAAGAAGCTGCCGGGTCCCGAGTTCCTCTCCAAGATGACATAGTTTCTCCTGGCCTTGGAGAGGAAATATCCCATCTGCAGTCCTGCGGGGCCGGCTCCAAGCACGCAGTAGTCGTACCGGCGGGTGACATTGTGGTGGCGGTTATCAAAAGAGCTTAAAACATAGCCAATCAGGATGAAAAGGATGACAGAAGGAAGGCTCGGATCCATAACCTGATGAATATGAGGCAATGATGGAAGTAAAAAAATATATATATATTAACACGATGAATATATAGGTAATAACAATGAAACATTCGACTTTTAAACCCTTTTGAGATTATTTGCGACATGATTTGTTATCCTGCGTTATCCTGCTGGAAGCAGCCGTCAGAAGATGGGTCATAAAGGAATGGACACGGACAGCAACATCAGTCAGGTAGGATATGACATTTAAGTAATGCTCAGCAGCTACTAAGGGGCCCAAAGACAATATCCATCACACCACAAAACCGTTAGCACTAGGCAGGAGGGATCATGTTGTTTATTTCCAATTCTCACCGCGCCTTCTGAATGCTGAGGCATAAACTGAGACCCATCAGTGCAGGCAACACTTTTCCAGTTTTCTTTAGCCAACTGTGGTGTATCATCAGTTCCAATACAAAGCTGTTTACAGGTTCTTGTGCAGTGCAGTCCCACTTGATGTAATCCATATGTATAAGGGCACGGCACTACATCTGAACCTAAAAATCGTACAAATTTTATCCAAACCAGTTTTCTACACTGTATTTTTTATCATCGAACATTTTGATTTATCATCTTCCTCTTGCGTCCTCCCTATGTGCCACCTGCCCACACAAAACCAACCTATTTCAATAAATGAACAATTTTCAATACTACCTGGATTGTTATAAACAGAACAAGTCTGGATTTTATGATAAAACGTATTTGTCATGTAAAAATATCGAACAAGTTTGGTCAAGTTAACTGTGTCCGAGCCCAGCCTGCGTAGGTATTTGGGAGAACGGGCTCCATGCAGGAGCTCCACATGAAGCCACAGAAACGTATTCGGTATAAAACCTAAAGGGAACCCAAGGCGATAATTAGTAGGGCTGAAGCGAGTAGAACCGTGCTAAGAGACACAGGTGTAGGGTCCGCAGGGGATCCCGGGCTCTCCGTGAACTCTCCAGCCGATGTTATATCACTCCGTCGAGGATGCAGCCACTGCCTTCGCCCGCTCAACCAGATGTGAGAACAGCTAACGTCGTCAAACACGGAGACCTCACACCTCACCTTTCAAATGGCTCGATCCTTCACGCGCAGCATCTGGAGTTCACCGCGTGTCGATCCGGTCACGGCTGCTACATGTTTACTGTCCTGCATCTTACACAGATTTCTCTGTGCGAGAGAGAGCAGCAGTCCTCCACAAATCCACTGGCACAGCCCAGTTCGCCCCCGGATGACAAACACCAATGGAGGGGAGCGTGCATCAGGGGGCGTGTTTACGACCGGAGCAGGCGAGAAAGGAAGGAAAGACTCGTTCTTATAATGGGGAATTACTCAACAGTTACATAAATACAGTTTGGAATAACAAAATGTGTCTGATATAACTTTATCTAAAAAAAATAAATAATAAAACGTGCTTAGACAATTAGCTATAAGTCATAATCTGGAGTAAGTAAAAGTACAAACATTTTAGCATCATAATACACTTCCATACAGCAAAAGTACTCATGATGCAGTGTGCCCCCTATTTGGAATAATATACGCTAAATTATTGCATCATTATTATTCTTTAATGAATAAAGCACTTTAATTATACAGCTACACACTGCTGGGTAGCTTTATCTGTAACTGCTTTTCCAGCAGTGTGGGCCAGGGCCCCCTGGTGGACAGCGAACGTACTGCAGGCTTAAGTGATAACAAATTCAGTTTGAAAACGCTAACAAGTATGTACAGTTACATTTTTATATACATATATTTATCTATATAAACATTGTATTAAAACCGGTAGCAAGAACAGGTTAGTTTGTGATATTACTCATTACTCTGACCTAAATTTACTGCTCTGAGGTTGAAGTTGTGTCCCAGTGGCAGGTGGGTCACACATTGGCCGTAACAATGTCCACGTGACTGAGCAGCACTGGCATTTTATAGCCAACAAGACGTATTGAAAAAAACCTGGTAATTTAGGGCAGCTGTGGCATAAGCCTTACATTGGGTGGTCTTATAAACTTAAGCACTGCTTATCTGTTGATTTATATATTTTAAAATTTCAAAATAACATGTATAGTTTTTAGATAATTGATATGATTGTATATTTAAAAACAAGTTAATATAGAAATACTTAAAAAATTTCAGCTATGTGTAATCAATATTACCTCTGTGGCTGGTTTAATCAATATTACTGTATATAAACATTTTGGGAAACTATGTGTGCTGCCGTGCATAAAGACCAACAACCAAGCATCTACTGAAAGTGAGAAAACTTTATTTCAGAACACAAAATTAAAGAACGTGAGTTGTTTTTTAAGGGTAAAAAAGCAATCCAAGAAACAGAGAAATAACTGTTTACACTGATTTCACATAAGTCCTTCCTTCCTGCTTTTTTTTTTTAATCTCGACATTATTCGTGCCACGCCTCGAAGCAGTTCCTGTCTGCAATAAGACACAGGGCCACATCGCACTCCCTACACTTCCAGGGGGTAGACTGATATTCCTTCTTTATCAGCCTGCACTGCACGCAGGTCCTTCGTCCGTACGAGGCCCTCTTGCTTGCATCGGGTTGGTTGGAGATCGGCACGGGGAGGTGGCCACTCGGGCCTTTGGTAGGGGGGACGGCGACTGTTACGCCACACAGCTGGGCAGTCAGCTCCTCCAGGAAGGCCCTGTGAGTCATGGGTTCCTCGTGTTTCTCTCTGCAGAGCTCCTTGTGAAGCAGGAAGCTGTTGGTGGCTGCAATCTCCAGGAAGTGTAAGAACAGTAAACGGTACCAGCGTGATGTTTTGTGGTGTACAGAGTAGGATTGTGTCAACTGTTCTAACATATCAGCACCTCCCATGTACTTGTTATATTCCATGACAGGTGTCGGGCATGGAATGAATCCGACGGTCGACTTGCCATCCTCACTTTTCACTCTCCTCTCCACGGTGTGTCCAGAGAACGCCTGGTGGACTGTAGAGCAGATGCTGACCTCACAGAAGTCCTTCCACTTCACATAAACCACAGGAGGTTCGCGGATCCACCTCAGGGTGCCTTTGGGATCCTTTTTTGTCAGAGCATTTGAATGTGTGGTTGGGCAGCCTCTCCTGTTGTCTCTGTATGTTCCACACGCTCCAACATTGAGGCTCAGCAGGTCTCTAAAGAGTTTTGGACTGGTGTAGAAACTGTCCAGAAACAGGTTATAACCACTGCCCAGGTGTGCAGACTTTATCAGGGTCATAACAGAGTCGTATGCAAGCCCAGTGCCTGACTCAAACCGTGACTTTCCAGTGTACACAGCAAAGTCCAAGATGTAACCGTTGCTGCTGTCAGACAGAACAAAGAGTTTGAAACCCAACTTGTTTGGTTTTGCTGTCCCTTTCTGAATCATTCCAGCGTGGTTCTTCCTCACTATTGTCCTCTCACCAATCAGAAGCTTCTGCCTAGGGTGGTAAAACGTATTGCAGGCGTGTTTGATGGTGTCCATTAGGGGGTTCAATCGAAACAAATGGTCGTATTGCGGCGTTCCCTTCTGCCTGTCATTCTCAACATCTTCCTCGGGATCACTCATGTGGATGTTCCAAGATATCACCCGATACCTGTCCTGTGACATGACGTCAGCCGGAAACAGCACACTGAATATCGTGTTCTTTTTCCAGTAGTCACAGATGTTATCCAGTTTCACCAGTGAAAAGAAGAAAGTGAGTCCGACATAATTTAGGAACTCTGGGACGTCGAGGTCAGTCCATGAATACTTTTTGCCTTTTCCAATGTTTTTGGCTGCTTGTTTGTTTGTGTTCTCACAAAGAGTTGAAATGGCTTCATTGCTGAGAAACAGCTTGAAGAGGTCCAGCGGCATGTGTTTGTTGTTTGAATTCAATTGATGTCCGGGTGGTCGGGCTGGGACGAACCTGTTAGGCGGCGGACAAATGTCTGGATCGTTCTCTGTTTTCCAGGATTTGGCTGTTGAATGTGGAGATCTTTTTCTTTTATGGCCTCTCGTTACACTGAGTGAAGAACCGTCTTCTTCACAATAAGCAGAGTGGTTGGCATCTTCTTCACCAGAGGTGCAAGGCTCTGTGTGCCCATCCTGTTGATCATCATAACTGAAAGAAACAGAATAAGTATTATGGTCATTTATCTCAGGCCAGTGTTTTTGTGGTTCAAATGTTTTGCAGTATAAACTATAAAGAATGGTTGAAATTGCCTGATGCTGTTCCTCCAACCCATCCAGACTTAAACCTGTAGTGTAGGTTTGCTTATATCCTGTGCCTGGAAGGCCCCATCCCCCACAAGAATGTGTACTATGAAGACTATGGCTAAAACCCTAACCCCCACCGTCCCACCCACCCACAGACACACACACACAGTGTGACCAGATAAAGTCCAAAGGTGCAAGTAAAGAACATAGCACTCATTTCATCAGTTCATTTCACTGACCCAAACCCCTAAAATACACCTACACAATTAAGCACATGTTGATCTACTGCCATCAACTGTGTTATAACCACTTAAAAACTTCATTTTATTATTTATTCCTGCCACACGTCACGTGTCATACCATACTTACATATTATGCCATTTCTACTCCTCATTTATGTATTCATGAGTTTTCTCCAAGTGCAAAAATCTGTCCTGTGCATTATCATGCAATCACAGCTCTCTCTGAATATATTAACGTACTTTAAAAAATATATTTTTAAATATTTTATATGGCTGGCTTACGGTCTGCAGGTTTTTATACCTGCAGTCTTGCTCTAAACACCATCAAACTCTGCCCGTACTAAAGCTGCATTAGCTTGTAAATACAGTATACTTACTCTTCCGCTGGATCGAGCCCCTCGTCGTAAGCTAGTTCGTCCTCCGTGAGGAAACTTTCTGCGCCAGACTCTCCTTCGTCCTCGCTTTCAAGCAGTTCAGGAGCAGCTTCGTCGTCGGAAGCCATCGTAGCCATCCAGGATTTTTTTTTTAAAAGACAGTAGTTGAAGTAGTTATTGTTTCCTCTTCGTTTTTTCTCTTTTTTTCTTCTGCGCAGTTATTGGCGGTAAATTTTCAATTGGCAGGGACTGCTTTGTTCTGACATCACTTCCGGTAAAGTTCCCTAAAAAAATGGTACAGATGTTTTGTTCTCGGCTAAAACAGCTTTTAGTCAGCAGTTCACTACTTTATATGTCTGTGTGTAATACATCCAAATGGAAAGTTCTCCCTTTAAATTATTAAAACTAATTTATCTTTCTGAAATAACTTAATTTACTTTAAAATGTATTTTTAATTATTTCTAGGCAACGTTTTGCCAAATTTTGTTCATTGTCATTGAGTGGTCATATAGAGCGATGCAGTTCTGCTAGCTTTTGATTGGGTAGCGGACGTCATGGATAAGAAGATACTCATATGTGCGAAAGTTTGCTTGTTGTCTTGTTGTCTTTGCTTTCAGCCTTGAATTTTAATGTTTTAGAGCTACCAAATATCCACAGAGCTTAGTTTCCTGTTTAAATACAACCTCATCTGTATATATTGATGAAACATCGAAGCAAAGATTTAAAATTTATATTTCTCACGTCATAAGATATATTGCCACTCATTTTTTGCTTGTAACAAAGTGTCTACAGATACAATTTCAAAGCTGTCTGTGTTATGCAGATGCAAAAATGGTTCACAGTTTGAGCTAGATGCTCAAATCTTTAAGGTATCAGTGTTAAGTTGCTTACTTTAAAAAAAAGAAAATCCTCTGAATACAGTCAGGTAACAGGACTGGACTGAAAATAAGTGAAAAAGCAGACAATGTGTAAAGAAGAACAGCTTTTAAAGACCTGCAGAAAGCCTGGAGAACTACTGAAATAATACTAAGAAAGTCTGTCTCCTTGGAAGTAAAGTGGTTTTGCACAGTAGTGTATAAAGCTTGATTGTGCCTTTCAGTGTTGTAGCTATACAAGAGTTACTACACACTTTTTACATGAACAAATTACAAAAATGTACTTCTAAACTATTAGAAGTTATACAGCCAGCAGATTTTTTCGGGGGGCCCTTATATTGCGAGGCAAACTTGGAGCCAATAAGCTCCTCGTCTTTTTGGGGCTTCTTGGTGTAGCTTCTTGTGACATTAAGTTCAAAACCTCTTGTTCTGTCCCCTGTTAATAGATGTTTTTTTAAATGGAAAAAAACAAAAAACAACTACAAAAAAAATGCTAACAATTGACAGATAATAGCTACAGGTTTTGAGAATACATTACATGCTACTTTGTTTCTCCATAAGGACTCTGTAGCCACATGTAGCCAAAGCCAGCTCAAACATGATTCAAGAAAATAAGCTTTAATGCCTCGTCATGTTTTCTGATATTGCTGCTGTGTCCACATCTCCCCTGTCATGTGAAGCATGACTCAGCAATCACACTTCTCATTTGACTCAGCAGCTGGAGCTTCACAGCTGTATATAAGAGGAGGGAGGGAGCTGAGAGGCCATGCACTGAGGAGCAACCGTTCAGAGGAACTGACCGGACACGCTGACAGCCGCCAGCTCTAAGGATCGAAGACTAGACTACACTTTACTGAATGTGAGTGAAATGCATTATATATGTATACTCTTACATTTTGTGTACCTATACTAAACCAATGAAACCATTTGAACAGATGGACACGATGAAGAGTGCGAGAAAGAATGAGACAGGAGAAGTCGGCAGGTATGGGAGATCACTTTACTGGAAATTTGCAGCTTTTGCACTTAAAGACATTTTAGGACATGTTGAATGATTGCTCCCTTTCTGTGTTTCCCTTCTGGCCTCAGCGATTTATCAGAGCAGATTAAAGCAGCCACTAAGGACAACCACGTGAGGGCTGAAAACACACAGCTGATGCTGAGTTACCAAAAGGGAGAGATCACTCTGGTTCAGTATAAGGTGAAGTGTGCACAGTGGCTGGATACACAAACCACTTTCTGTTCCTTTTCTTTTTTTTTCTTATAAGTGGATGTCTATCTTTATGCGTCTTTTAGGTCCTGCTGTGCTCCCTCTACGAGATCTACAGGGCTCTGGAAGATGAGATGGACAGGAATGCTTCCGATCCAGCCATTGCACCAATTTACTTCCCTCAGGAGCTTTCCCGTGTGGAATCACTGGAAAGAGACCTGGAGCATTTCTTTGGATCAGAGTGGAGGAAGAGAGTGATCGTCCCTGCAGCCACACAGAGATACGGCCAGAGACTGCGACAGGTGAGCACCGCGTTTTGACGTGATTCATGATTCATAACTCAGAGTGCACAAGAACCAGCGCAACACTTCCCCCTTCTTACATTCTCAGATCGGCAGAGAGAACCCAGAGCTTCTAGTGGCCCACGCCTACACTCGCTACCTCGGTGATCTCTCAGGGGGACAAGTGCTGGGAAAGATTACCCAGAAATCTCTCGGTCTGAGCAGCAAAGAGGGGCTTTCCTTCTTCCACTTCCCCGGTGTGAGCAGCCCCAACCGTTTCAAGCAGCTGTACAGGAGCCGGATGAACAGCATCGAGCTGACGGAGAAGGAGAAGGCCGCGGTGCTGGAGGAGGCCGTGCAGGCCTTTGAGCTGAACATACAGGTGAGAGACCTCAGGACGAATTTTTCTGTGCAAGCCCTGACCAAAAATGACACCAAGAATTGCTCCACAGTTCTCAGTGAACTCAGCTGAAAGAGGAACTGAAGCTAATGCACGTAGAGCCAAAATGCTGCCAACACGCTAATCCCTTTTTTTTAACCCCTTGTTTACTCGTAGGTTTTTGATGACTTGCAGAAAATGCTGAGTGTTGCAACAGAAACTGCGGACCAGCACAAAGACAGATCCCCAGCGGCCGTCCTCCCGTCGTCATCCATCGTACAGTTCACCGTGGGACTGTGTGTTGCGCTGGCCACTATTGGAGTGGGAATGTATGCTTTGTAGGCTCTACCTGTACTTATACTGGTTGTGAATCATAGATTGTACATAATGGCTTTAGCTTCTGGGTTTGAAAAATGAAGGCAAACAGGAGAATACGTATGAATGATTTTAAAAGGAAGTCTTGAAGGTTCATGGTCTCAATCACCAGTTTAAGGCATACAGATAAAGATGAAAAGAGCTATTGTTACATCACCTAGTTGTTCCTCTTGGAATTTTCTTAATTTAAAAAAATGACTCAATTTTCTTCTGAATATGACCTCAAACCAGTGATCAGGACCACAGAAAAGTCCGGAAAGTGTTTAGCAAAGTCATGAAAGGTTGTTTGTGTCGCCCCCTGGTGGTGACTGAAGAGATTGTAGTTTTAAAAGGTGCTTCCACCTTGGCTTCACATTCCAAACCCAGAAGCTACAACCATATTTTGCACCGTCGATGGTTCTTGCAGAATATAAATTACATTTTGTGATGTTGCAAGACTTGAGGCGTCACTAACCAGTGAGTGGGATTAAAAAGGCTCCATCCATCTTTTATATACAGTGTGTGACATGCACATTTTGCACTTTACTCAGTTTGGCTCTGAAAGAGAAATCGTGACTGACAATCTGTCAACTCCAAGCCAAAGCAGTGATTTTACTTGTCATTTGTGTATATTCATCAAATCGTGTCTCTGTTTATGATCTGTTTAATAAAAAAAAAAAGAAATACTCTCAACATTTTAATGTGAATTTCAATACTTTATTGTTATTTATTTTTTTAAACACAGTATGCAGACATTAAGTAACATCTTTAGCTTGATACAAAGCACTAGGACCATCTTAGCAGTGACTCTTCATCCACCCTGTTGGCATGCATCCTGCTGTACAGAGCTACAGCTGAGATGAGACACTATTCTGGCAAACATAACACCACAAATGAAAACTATTTACAACAACAACAATATGGTTATCTCATAGAGCACTTTTCTCTACTTGACTCTGTAGAGCACTTTTCTCTGCATGCGGTGCTGAAGCTCCCCCCTCCTTAACATCAGGTGGAGGACTTTGTAGATGGCGTGCTCTGGATATTTCTGCAGGAAGGACAGAAAGAGGTCACTAACAGGACCCAGACCAAAACTGATTCTTTTGTCAGGCATGTAAAAAATGTTTCTGAGGTCTGTTTTTACATGACTGACAAAAGAGAACTGAACACTATTCCTGTAATCATCCCAATGGAACACGAAACACAAGCTGGGCACAGAGTCAAATCACTGTTGTGTCCCCAGGTTGATATTCTCACCTGTTTGGTGAAGTCCTGTATGATGCTGTGCTCTGACACTTGCGAGCCGATGGCGAAGCGTCTCTTCAGCTGCTTCTCGATGCGAGAGATCATTTCCTGGTCCTCCTGAGAAGTGAAGCCTTCCGCTCCTGGACACAAAATGTGGTTGGCATGCTTAGCTGAGGCTTAACACTTGGCTTCCAGCAAATTAAAAACAAAAACAAAAGATTCTTTAATGGAATAGCTAATATGGTTCAGTTTAATGAGGTAGATCTATCCACTAGACCCAAAAACATGACCAACGCCCACCTGAAAGGCTGCCAGACAGTGCAGCGTCCAGCGTGGAAACCTGGAAGAGCCTCAGGGCCTCATCCACCTCCTCTTCTCCAGCCACCGCCTGCAGCTTCATCTTAGCCAGCGACTCTGCGATGCGCACGACGGCCTCCAGCTGCCTGAAAACCCGAAACATCAGACAGACGATGAAGCGAGAAGATCCAAGTACTTAAGTTGGGGTAAAAAGACGCATTTACATGATCATTTATTAAAATAAATAAAAATCTACCTGACTGTGATGGGGATGGAGGCTCTTTTGTCGCTCTCCCTCTCGTGCTCTCGTGCTCCGCTCCTCATCACCACGTATCTGTTTTTTAGCTTCTCAGCAGCTGCAGCAGACAGCCGAGGACCACACTTACTGTAAATGGGCAAATTATTATTATTATTTATTTTTTAAACTAAGTACATGACAGTGTGTGCGATCAAACTAATATATGAACTCCAGGACACTTACGTTCTTGCATAAGCGATGTATTTCTTAAATGTGGTCAGCGGGATCTCGCCCTCGACACCCTCGGTCTGCGTCTGCGCGCTGAGGTGGACGTTCATCACGTGGCGAGCCAGCGTCTGTAAACAGACGCGTTCAAACAGTTACACTCTGTAACAGCTCCAACCACACGAGGGTTTAACGCCGCAGACCTTCGGCCTCCTTACCATGTCTCTCTGCTGGTCGTGCTGGTCCTTGATGATGAAGATCATATCGAAACGGGACAGGATGGTGGGCATGAAGTCGATGTTGTCTTCGCCCTTTGTGTCGTCCCAGCGGCCGTACACGGAGTTGGCTGCTGCCAGCACAGAGCAGCGAGAGTTCAGGGTGGTGGTGATGCCAGCCTGGGAGGAGAGCCCACGTGTTAGCTTGCCTTCAACACAGCGACTGCATTTTACTTTCCTTAAATGCACAAAGAGGCGATACCTTAGCGATGGAGATGGTCTGCTGCTCCATGGCCTCGTGGATCGCCACTCTGTCATCCTCTCTCATCTGGACAACAAACACAGTGTTATCTTTAATAATGAGGCCGGAGATCAACTGATAGTTTATTTTGTGCCAAGTTTGAATTCTTGTTTGCAACTTAGCAACTTGTGCTGCTTCGTTTTTACCTTGTCAAACTCGTCGATGCACACGACCCCGCCGTCGGCCAGCACCATGGCTCCCCCCTCCATGATGAATCCTCGGGTGCTGGGGTCCCTGAGCACGGAGGCAGTCAGACCGGCCGCGCTGCTGCCCTTACCGGAGGTGTAGACCTACAGGGGACAGAGTCGAGGTTCAGGATCAGTGTGAGGGGTTTACACCGGATTTGTCATAGTGACGACAATCCATTCAGGATTACTTACCCCGATGGGCGAGCATCTCTCAACAAACTTCAGCAGCTGAGACTTGGCTGTGCCGGGATCACCCAGCATCAGCAGGTTGATGTCACCTCTACGAGTGAGACCATCAGGTAGCCTGCAGAGGACAGAAAACGAAAGCACTGCTGGGTAAGTCAGGGACTTTTACAATAAAGGTGGGTATCTATGTATTGCGCTTAAAGCTCACCTCTTTCTTGAACCTCCAAACAGCAGACAGGTAATGGCCTTTTTCACATCATCGCTGCCATAGATGGATGGCGCTATAGACTGTGACAGAGAGTTGTAGACGTTAGGAGAAGCAGCCAGTGCCCTCAGTTCCTCCTCTTCCTGTGGGGAGACGGATCCAGTGGCACCACGGCCTAAAAAAGGAAAAAAAATATCCACACTTAAAGCCAGCTCTGCTCGCCTGAAACGCATCACACCCACGTCTTAATGCAAAACCTCTTCACCTGCGCCTTCTGTGTCCACCTGGATACCGACCACTCGCAGATAGGACGCACGAATACCCACGCCAACCCCTCTCTCTTTGCCTTTGGCTTTTGGTGCAGCCATCTTTTTGATGGAGTAAATACCCATGATGGTCACCCTGTTTCCTGGGACCACGCGGTCACACAGATACCTGAGAGACAGGTGGGAAAAAGCACGAGTGTAAAAGCAGCACAGCAGCAGAAAAAGCTCAGTGTCAGTCACACAGGTGCTTACCTGTCGCAGTAGAGCTGCAGGTGACGGGGCATCTCTCCGTGCGGTACAGCATCCGGGGACTCCTGCAGACGAAGTGTCTGGAAGTCGACGCAAACGCAGCGGTCTGGGATGATGAAGTAAGGGTCCACAGGACACTTTACCCTGCCAGCACTCTCACTGAGAAAAGAGGGAGCCTCGTTAAAGGTGATTCTGGGTGAGGAACTCGAGCGGAGGGACGTTACCCCATCATAATACTCACGAGTTGCACTTGCGCGGCAGGGCATAACCCTGCAGCCCTGGAGGCAGGGGGATGTTGGGGATGACGGCGCGGCAGCCGCGACACTGCAGACACACCTTGGTGGCCTTGGCTTTGACCGCCGTGGCAGAGATGATGATGCCGTGCACCTTCACCAGACGAGACACCTGCTCAGACTGCAGTGGACAGAAAAAGAAAAAAACAAGAAAAAGTGTGATCAACCTGTCAGTAACTCCTACAGTATGACACACAAAGAGGCCTGAGAGTACCTTGAGGCTGCGGATGGATGCGTGATGAGCGTCGCTCTTCAACGTGACCTGGATGTCCTGCACAGCCTCTTCCCCGACAGGCCGGGGACGGGTCACCTCATCGGCCACCTCCTTTGCGGCTTCCTCCAGCTGTAAATTAAAAGCAGACCTTCAGACAAATGCGTCGGACAGATGGATCGCCCACCGGGACGGAGTTTGTGCGGTGTGACATGCTCACCAGAGGCAGGTTCTCAGTCGGCAGCTTGTAAAGACAGTCTGACAGATCCTCATCGAAGCTGGCGAGGTCCTCCATCTCCACCTCCAGCCAGTACTCTCCCAAGGTGTAGTGTCGCTTCAGCTCATCTCTAGTTGAATTTAGGTACAAGTGAAAATAATGCAAATTCATAGGCTGGATGAGCCCAAAATTGGCACATTTAGAGCTTTAATGGCAAATGATTCAGATGCTTCACAAAAGGATCACAAATATAACTACTGTTGGTCTCTACATGTTATGAAGCTCAAGACGTGCTAGAGCAGGGATGTCAAACTCATCAGCCACATACATCCTACTTTAATCTTAAGTTGGCCAGAGCAGTTTCCTTTTTCCCCTTTTTTTTTTATCATTGATCCACTGTAAAACAAAACCAGATAGTAGACAGAAAAGTTCAATTTAGTCATTTAACTGTTTAGCTATTACTTTGGTATAGAATGGATGACCATGGGGGAGGTCTTTATTCACAAGAAAAGCTGTAAAACTGATAAAAAAATATAGTTAAAAGTCCAACATTTACACACTCCTTCACATTTTCCAAAGCCTTTCCTTGGGCTACACTGGAGTCTTCGTCGGGCCGATTTTGGCCCTCGGGCCTTATGTTTAACACCTCTGTGCTAGAGTCTACATTTTCCACAAATTCAGCAGCCCCTGTATTTAGGCCTCCTGCCAGACTAATGAGCACTTTAAAAAAAATAATCTCAACAGTAACTTTGTAACAAAGACAGTTCTTATTAGCTATATTACCCATATTGAGATCAGATCCTGAACACTCAGGGTGCGGCTGTGTAACAAACAACAGCACGGTGCGATCGCTGTTACCGTACCTGTATTTATAGGTGAAGCCGGTGCGGTCGGTCCCCACTCTGAATTGTCGCAAGAACTCACGGAACCGCTTCTTGATCTGGATCCGCTTCTGTCCACCTTCGTCCCCGCCGGGGCCCTCTCCACCTCCGAAGCTGTCACTGTAGTACACTCCTGGGTCGTCAAAGCCAGACATGCTGAATGAACCAGATCGCAAAAGACACGAAGAAAGCGGAGTGTAAGGAAGCAAACCCAGACAAAAACAACTTTTTCTTCTTAGTAAGAACTAAGCAGGATGTAAGGTGCCGCACACAAAGCCTCCTTGCGGCGTCTCTTTCGCGGGAAAAACTGAACTCCTTCCCTTCACTTTCCCGCGAGCCGCCTCTGCGTGGCGTCATCTCCGGCACTCTGATTGGCTGATAGGAAAGGCCGTGCATAGCTATTGGTCGGCGTGGCTCCTCGGAGGTGGGTTGTCAAAGTAAAGGTGGAGCTTGTGAGCACTGATGGCGCGAAAAAGACAGCAGGAGGAGGGTAGAGGGAAGCGTGGGGAGCAGGGGCGGAGCGTGGGGGTGGCTTACTGGGCTTAAGCCCGGGTTGTTTTGTCAGAAGCCCGGGGTCTTTTGGAGTGTAATTTTTTCATAGTTAGATGCCTGGCTGACAACTGTATAAAACAAAAAGTAAACACAATATTCGAAGCACGTAGTGCACACTGTGGGAATTTACGACTGTGCGTGAATCCCCCCTGATATTGGTATGATCCGAGCTCAGGCATTAAGCGACTGAGCGAGAGGGCGGGGCAGCAGAAATCGCGCTGTAATATCCAGTTAACTGTCCACATTTGTACTCTGTTTTTCCATTTATTATATTTTTTTTTCATTAATTTGTCTGAAAAAAAGATCCACGTAGTAACCAAAGAGAGCCTAAATCAATGGTCTCTAATAGCAGCCAAATTATAAGAGCTTTCATTAGTGATGGTGAGATGAAGCCTTGTGATGAACTGAAGCTTTCCATCCAACTGGTCGACTCATGGTTCGAAGCACTGTGACGATTCATTGGCTCTACTGCGCCATCAAGTGGACGATTAAAGTCAGATAGGCTCAATGATTATAATGATGTGATGTGTAAACCTCTAAACTTAATAAATAAATTGTTTTCATGGTTATTTATCCCGAATATTGTCTCAGTATGTCTGATACAAAAGAGAAAGTGGAAACTATTAGGACAGAGTTTTGGTATGATTGTGTAACAACCATCATGGTTGTAAACCGCCATGAGTCTCCCATCAAAGTCAAACTTATAGACTTTGGCCTCGCATGTCCTGCGTCTGCAGTGATACCTGGTGACTGTGTGGGAATGGTTGGTTACTGTGCACCTGAGGTTATGCTTGGCCTTCCTTATAACGAAGCAAGTGACATGTGGTCTCTGGGGCTGGTGGCTGTGGAGCTTGCTACAGGGGTGCCCTCTACCCTTCGGAGAATGACTATGATTATCTGAAATTCATCATAGAGACTCAGGGTCAGCCACCAGATCATGTGCTAGACTCTGGCGTGTACACTGAAAACTATTTCATTGGAGACAAATACAAGCAACAGCGCTGGACATTTAAGACGGAAGAACAATTTAAAGGCTCTGTTCCAGGGACAGGACATGAAATCCCTGGAGACAAGATACATAATACTTACACGTCTGGATGACCTCGAACAAATAATGATGTTTAGACGAGGACCAGAAGCTGGCCAACGCTTATTTGTCAGCCTAATTAAAGAGATGTTGGCCTTGGATGCACACCAGCGGATAACACCCTCTCAGGTTCTCCGGCATCCCTTTTGCAGCCCTGGCCTCTCTAACAGGTTCCCATGTATCAACATTGAAAGACCATACTGAATCAGTCTCCAGCATGGCATCTTCCACCCTGGACAAAAGTGATAAAAACACAAACTGGGGTTGGAAAATGACATTAACAGCAAATTATACTGCAAAAATTAATTAAGCTGCTGCAATAATGATCACTTTGGCTTTTTTTTTTAAATTTTCACTCCCCCCACCCCAACCAGTCGTGGCAGAGGGCTGTCCCTTCCTGAGCCTGGCTCTGTTGAAGGTTTCTTCCTTTTTAAAGGGAGTTTTTCCTTCCCACTGTCGCTAAATGCTTGCTCATAGGGAAATCTTCTGATTGTTGGAGTGGCCAAAACTCTAGGGGAAGTAGCAATTCTTGTGAAAATTAAAAAAAGAAAGCCTACCAATCTTCAAAGCGCAGCAGTGGACACCTTACCATCACATCAGTCCTTCAATCAGACCTAAAACACCACGTTTACAGAAATAAATTCCATACAAATTGGAAATAAATTGTGTAATAATTGTTGTTTTTGATTGTTTATAAATATATAGTGCTACCATTCAGCCTCCTAGTAGACATACCTGTATTATAAATGTAAAACTCCTCTGATTTTCAGAAAGGTTGACCTCTGACCTTGAAGTCAAGGTCACTGAGATTTTCAGTAGATGCAACCATGGTATTGACTTGAAAATTCTACACTATCAAAGACTTAGGTGCCCACAGCATCTCGCCATATACAAAAGATTAAAAGGTGTTTTTTCTAGGCTTTTATAAAGATTACAAAACACAAATAACAAAAATGACAATGCTATTTTGATGTTTTCTAATGTAGCGCAAAAAATGAAACAAACCCTAAAATTAATAAATAAAGCAATTTTTTTATATCTTAAACTACTGGATAACAACTCTTTTCTAATAACATTGAAGATGCTGTTTAACTGCTTTTCAGCAGTAGTGCCCTACTAATTAAAGACTCAGCATCACGCCTCTGTGCTGGGTCAGGCCACAGGACTTCATCCACATTACATGCTATGGGCTCTCTTGCAAGGCAGCGAGGAAAGAATCGTTTAGCATGCCGAATCCAGCTCTGGCAAGATTCCACTGCTATCTCACCACAAGCTCCATTCAATGCTTGAAGTAGATTTTCCTGTAAGGGTTTCGGTCTTATACTTTCAATCTCCATGCTGAGAAAAACTCCTCAATAGGGTTCAAAAAGGGAGATTGCGGTGGAAGAAACACATTGATAAAATGCTGTTCATTGTGAAACCAATTGCATATTCTTGGACTTCAGTGAAAGCTCACATTGACCCAAATGATATGGGATGCTCTGCCTGCTCGCGATCTCTCTAATCAAGCAAAGCATCCCGTAGACCATCTGGGAATGTTACTATAAGTTCATTGTTGTACAGCCCAACAGTAACATGACTGTGGAGAACCCCATAGCTGCTGATGGCAGCACAGATACCGTAGTTACAGTTCCACCACGCTGGCCAGGCAGTTCAATAATGGCACGTTGACCTACGACATTGCGACCTTTTCTTCTCCTTTTTGCTAGATTCAACATGTATGTTGTCTTTTACATTCTCTTGCTGCATTTCACGCAGTCAAATTGCATTATTCTGATGGACCATATCCACAATAAGTGTCTCCTGGTGTGAGCACCCTCATGTGGCCTTCCTTCAATTCTAAACAAAATACCAAAATACCATAAGTATACTTGTATACATAGCACATGTATACATTATACTATTTCATTTACAGAACTAAAATTAGTTTGTTGTGTAAAGAGAATCTTTGAGCTTGACTCAATGGTTAGGCCTCATGAATAGGGCGAGACAGACGTCTCTCACGGAGCCCTTTAGTGCTGCTGGCAAGGTGTTCAAATAGCGCACAACTTCAGGTTTTTTATTTCTATATGATGAACTCTGCATTATTAAGTGATAAGAACAAGTAATCTGATGTCCTGTAATCATTATGATGCTATAATTCGAGATACAATAAATAAAATAAGCTTTTGTACAAAGTATCGGATCAGTATCGTCGATACCACCCTGAATATTACTTGGGATCGAAAAGGAAATCAGTGGTATCACACATCTAGCATTTAGCATCTCAACTTCAGAGGAGAATTATGGACTTTTCTTATGAATAAAACTCTTCTACTCTTTGAAGGATGTTTAATGTTTACCACACATGCTGATAATCTATGCACACTATGTGTCACCATTATCCTCACAGTCATCAGAATCACATTTGCGGGGTGGATAAATGCCCTTTCAGAAACATTTTCTCACTCATGAAAAGTGTTTAATCAACTGCCCTTTTTGTTCCAATGCAAACACTTTAGCAAAAGTGCTTTAATCAGTTAAGCAAGCACAAAAATAACATTCACCTCCAGTGACCTACAAATATAACTAAAATTTCCATCACCATCATTCATGGATCTTGAGTAACAGGCAGCGTGACCCTGCAATTTCAAGCAGTTTTCTGAATCCTTCTGATTCCAGCTCGTTTGTTCGATTCATGAGATGACGCCGTGCTTCCTGCCAGTCTGGATGAAAGCGTCAACACAGTGGTCGATGTCTTCGTCCGTGTGTGCTGCCGAAATCTGAACACGGATTCTGGCTTTTCCCTTTGGTACGACTGGGTAGGAGAATCCAATCACATACACTCCTGTGGAGGGAAGACACTACTGTGACACTGTATAAACACAGTGGCAGATTCACATACTCTCTGCTAAGTGAGTCAGTTTCATCTACATTAAAGAAAAAAATAAAGTTAACGTGGAAGTGCCAAAAAAACTGCAGTTCCTTGAGCGGCCACTTGAGGCTTTCTCCAAAAGTGAGTCAATCCTCAGACTCCCAGAAATGAACATGTTTTTTAGCTTGGTACAAAAAACTACTTTTGGTCTCTAGTTGTAGTTTTCCCCTTCACAACAACAGTGCAGGTGGTGAATTATTTTATTACTCACAATTTTAAACTGTAATAAGGTAAATTTAAGCTTGTGGCCACCTTGACTTACTGATAAATGGCTGTACGGGAAACAGGATGTTCTAGCTTGTCCAGCAAGTCAGTGTGGTCAGTTGATGAGTGTAAAAGCAGTATTTAATTTCTTTCTTACTTAGCACTAATTAGCTTGTGTAGCCATAGCACTTACTCAGGTTAGAGCTTGCTAACCAGCCTTGCTAGCATAATAAACCAATAACTTAGCAGTTGTCATTCATCAAAACATGGTCATGTCTGACTTAAAGAAAAAAACAAAAAAAACAACAACATGGCAGAGGCCAGAATTTGAACATTAATTCTTTGAAAATGAATGGCTAACATTCCATCTATTATATACAGTCTATGGTCTCACCAAATTTTAGCATATCGTCAGCCATTAAAGAGGCCAAACGTGCATCGCCAAGCATCACAGGGCAGATGGGGTGAGCTGAGCCTGCAATGGTGAAGCCGGCTTGCGTCATCTTGTTCCTGAACCTGATTTGACAGCAAAGAGAAAACTATTATACTCACAAATTGGTAAAACCAGTTGTAAG